CATATGCAAATGTCTCACTGGAGTGTTGGCAGGGTTCTCCTAGGGGAACAGCACGGCTAAGGCAAGAGCTGGGAGCTCCTAGCCATTCTGTGCAGCTGGAGCTCCGGAGTGGGGGAGAGGGCAAAGCTGAGTTTGCTACAGCATGGAAGGCCTTCCTTGGTGCTTCCCACCTGCTGGATTTGATCTCATATGCAAGGGGGAGTGGATAAAGATTTTGCATAGGAGAGTGGCATGACCAAATTCATTTTTTAAAAAGGCAAGTTGATGGCAGTGTCGAGGATGGGTTGGAGGAATTAGAAAGTCTGAAGGCAGAGAGCCAGAGGAGACTCTGGGAGGTCAGAGAGTTCATAAAAGTAGCAGAGCATAGATGTGCATTTGGGTCTTCCGACTGCAAGTCCAGCCTGTCTGTCACTTTGTCAAAGGTCCTCTCCACCTAAGTGCAGCCGTTTTACAAATCAGGAATGGCATACCATATTATGCATGCATTCCCTTCCCTGAAACATCAGCTCCACCCACACTTGGAAATACTGAAAATACTTTGTCCTCCTTTTTTCTCCCTTCCTACTTTTCATGTGGTCGTTCTCAATGCCTGAATCTAATTAATCCAGCCCTCTTTCCTACCCAGAGCTCCCTCTGCAAACCAGACTCACACGGCCAAGTGACAAAGTGAATTATATCGCTTTTAGGTATTTGGCCTTGTTTTCCTTGGGCCACTGCCTGACTTTCTTTTTTATGCCCTTGGAACGAGGGCACCTGCTTCTTTTCAAGAGGCTCTGATCCAAAGCCCACGCAGATGGCAGGGCAAGGCACTTTGTGGTTGTCAGGGCTTGCTCATTCTTGGATTTGATTCACTAAAAGCTGGCCAGATGCCAACCAGAGCTTGGTAACTCTTCCATCCTGCCTCCATGGTGGGGGTACTGGCAACACTTTACCCCTCAGAGAATGCACGGGTGTTGGTTAACAAGGCTATGTACAGGTTAGTGGTGGAAGGAGAGAGAACAAGCCTACTCTCATGCCTGCATCACAGAATCGTGTTGGGATCTTGAGGCCAGAGCTTTGTAAAATGTTGGGATGCATTTACGTAAGGAGAAAGATGAGTGTGGGAGACAGTGAGCACAAATGGTCACAAAAGGATAGAGTGGGTAAATGTATTCGAAATGACAGACAGGCTTAACTTTGGTAGTCACAAGGTAATCTGAAAGGAGTTCTTTTAAAACCCCACAAATTCCTACTGAGCACCTCCCAGGTAGACATCCTTATCCCTGTTGGGTCTGCAGTACCAACCTGGCTGGAGTGGTCACTTGATGATTATTTGAGATCTAGTTGCAGGCTCTGCTGGATGTAAGCAGAGAGCCAGAAGGAGATGCACAGGTGCTCCAGTACTGGTCCTGAGGCCTGTGAATTTTCGGGTGAGATCATGTACTCACAGAGAATGGTGATCCTGTAATCCTTATGGTATTTGTATCAGGTATGACTGTGATTCCATACATTCATTTTCTCCAATTCAAATTGAACCTAGCTCTGCACCCTCCTCCCCCACTGCTACCACCATTGGTGCATACCTCCCGACCCTCAACACTACTGCCACTACACCACTGTCACCACCTGTGGAGGCTGAAGAATAATCCAGGGGGCTCCAAGAGGCCAGGCCTCTGATCTTCTGTTTCTAAGTGTTCTGCCTATACACAGATTGTCTATGTCTACATATAGACACTTGGGGCTTTGCATCATCACAGGGATCCCTGGTACTAGGTGAGACTCCTGGAGGCTCCATGGAGCAAGTCCCTTTGGCTCTAGTTGCCTTTTCACAGAGGGGGACCTGAGTGTCCCAGCCTTACTCAACTCCTCATCTTTCCCTCTCCTTTCCCAGTCATCACCTTTTCAATGAGATTGAGACAGGATCTGAAATGGCAAGATAAAGCTTTCCAGCAGCTTCCATGTTCTGCTTGGAGGATGGATTGGCAGGAAATAGAAAGGGCCTCTATAACTTCTTGAAATTCTGGCAGGGAAGAGAAGACAAAAATACTGAGAACTCAGTGCAAATTAATATCTCAATAAATCATCCTGCTACAGATTATTGTGGAATTTATAGGCCTTGCAGAGAGGCAGCAGAGCACAGTGATGGAATGCTCGCAGTCTTGTCCTACCTCCTGCTGTCCTCATCGCTTGCCCCAGTTTCCTCATAAGTGAAACAAAGGCAATGGTAATTGTACCTATCCCATACTGTGACTGCAAGGATCAAATGACCCATATTCAGTGCTGAGTATATTGGGACACAGGGAGAGCTCATTAGATGTTAGCTGTTATTATTAAATCTCTACTTTCACTATGGGACGTTCCTCTCTCCCTCATAGTGTGCTTCCAATATGTTATTATACAAAAAATGGCTATTGCTTTTTGCAGGGGTAATGATATGTTTCTCTTTCCATAACCAATGAGATAGGGAAGAAGGAAAGAGGGGACAAGGAAAGGAAGACTTGTCCTGTATGATGCTTGCTGACCAAGGCTGTGGGCTTTCATCTTTATCTGCCCAAATGGCTGGTACTTCTGGGAAAAGGGAATATTCTAGCATGATGACCTTCCTTTATAATGGCTTATGGTATGATATGTTCTTTACCAGTGGGTTTCATCAGCAGTAGAGTTGTGCATTTTGCCATGAAAGAGCACTGGGCCAGGAGTCTTCTCTCCACTGTTCACTGGGCTTCATTCTCAACTCTTTATGACTTCCTTAGAAGTGTCCTCTCTGCTTCCAGTCTAAATTAGCTCCCACTGTCATTCTTATAGTTTCTTGTTCTTTATTATTAGCCTTTATTCAATTTTTAATGATGGATATTCTGTGTGTTTATTTATTCAAGGTCGGCTCTCCCAGTAGCTTATAGCTCCACAAGGCAGGGATTAAGTTTGTCTTATTGACCAAGTGCAATGACTTAGCTTCAACTTTTTAATCTGTTAAATGAGGATACTGCTTCTGCCCACCTCACTGAGCTGTGAAATTAAAAAAGATAATACATGGGGAATTTCCTTGTAAATCATAAACTGTGATGCAAATATTAGTTATGCTTAGTGCCAGGTCTGTTTGAACGTACATCACAAGCTGAATACTTGTGAAATGAGCTCCTGACAGATGAGGTTTGTTAGATGATGGAGGTAAGAATTGAAAAAGGCTGTCCAACATCATAGATGTTATGAGTCCACTCAAGTCAAGGTTAAGATAGTTAAATAGTAACACCACGATTGGAAATGTCTAAACATGAGTGATGACGGTGAGTAGTATAGAGCAGGTAGATTCTACAGACTGGGAGAAGTTTTGCTAGTTTAGTTCTCAGGCAAGATGAGAACTACCTTTCCTACTGAAAGACAAGGATGATCAATAAATATGACATCTTCCCTGCTCCACAGCAGTGAAAGTACTGAGGGAGGAAAGCCATTCCCAGAATGGCCACTGCTGCCAGCTTTCCACAAAGAGCAAATGGGAGAAGCATGAATCCCTGTAAGTCAATCATTGCACGGATAGGATATGTGCAGCCTCATATTTGGAATAGGGAAAGCTGGAGTCAGAGAGATGCAGTTGATGAGTATTTGAGTTCCTCTGTCTTTGATTAATGAGCCAGAAAATAAGAAATTATCCATTGTGATGGCCAGTGTGAGGCATGAATCACAGAGGTTGGGGACCCAAAGACCAAATGGCACTAAACCAGGAAGACAGAAAAAGATCAGATTGAACCAAAATCAGACATGTTTTTCTTCACTAAGTCATTGTCTGGTTTTGCCCTATTTTTCAGGGATCAGGGTAAGGTGTTCATTGTATAACTGCATGGGTAATTTTCCTGTTCCTCCACGTGCATATAATTATGGTTTAACTATTTATTAATAGTCTATGATTAGTTTGCAGGTTTTTGGCTCTCCAAGGATACCAGATTCCCTGTGGTTGGTAGAAAATCTGGTTTTCCCCAGGCCCTTGGCTCAGACCTCAGTGAGGCCTTAATGACTGTGTCTTCTACAGCTGTGCTCCCAGAGGTGAGCAGTAAGTCCAGGATAAGAAAGGAAACAGCACAAGGTAGGATAGGTAATAGGCCAAAGGGAATAAAAATAGGCCCTAGGAAGGTGTGGGAAGGTGGACATCACACTCCGAGATCCACAGAAGACAAAGCTCCATTGCAGATAAAGGAACAAAGAGCAAGTAGGAGAAGCAAAAGTCACACATGACAGCACAGGATGAAGCTGGTGGCCACACATGTCAGAAGGGAAGAAGGGTACAAGCCTATAATAAGTTTTTTGGGGGACTTAAATTTTTTTGACTGATATATAAAAACTTAAGTTGTACATATTAGTAGGGTATCATGTAATGTTTCATAAGTTATATTTTTTTTCAAATCTTAATGGGTTAAAGGAATGATTGCTATGAGTGTCAATGTTTAGTCTTAGGTGGAGAAAAGTTGGGTCCTCTTTCATCATCTGTCATGAAACTGTGGTCACAGAAAGGGGCTTTTCCCAGGGATTGTAGGAACACACCCACATTTTTCAGTCAGGGTCCCCTGGTGTGGGAGACACGTTGGAAGACAGGGCACGTGGACACTGAGCGTCAGAAGCTGGCACAGTGGGCAGAAGTTGGGAGACCCCGGGGCTGGCTGTGCCGAGGTGGGAAGGGGAGAGACCAGACCTTGAGGGCTAAGGGGGTAAAGAAAGCAGCCCAGGAGGACGCTGAGCAGGCAAATCGCAGAGAGAGGCTGAGGACAAGGAAGGGAAAAGTACTAACACCATCATTGTGCCCAAGGATGGGCTCTGATCTCCAGGAACAGGACACAGCAAAGCCTCGGGAACAAAGCGCTGGCCCTCTCCTGACCCCACCAGCTAACTGTCAAGTATTTGCAGAAGTCACATGCAAGTAAGCAGGGGCCTGAACTGGAGGAGGCACAGCCTGAAAGTCAGAGCCCGGAGGTGGAGCGGCTCTGCGGAGGACACAGGGGTGCTTTGTGCGCCCCGAGCAATGAGCAGCTGCGGCCTCTCCAGCGCTCCTGCGCCCCACAGCCCGGCGACATGCGGGGAATCCTCTTCCCCACTCTCCTCCTCACCGGGCTGGCACAGGTAAGCCCTTCCTCTTTGCCTTCCAGACACTCTGGCTCTCCTAGTTCTTCAGGCCCAAAGTCAAAAAGGAAGCCGAAGATGGAGGAAATGACTGGTGAAAATATTTCAGGAGAAACAGGGAGCCATTTTCCTCTCCAAATATAGTTCTGATTGAGTTAATTAGCTTCAGGAGAGCAATGTAAGACATTTCTCCCTTTCAGGTAAACTTTTGATGTGTTTGAACAGTCGCCAGACTTTACATATATATTTTTATGGAGTCTAAAACGCACCACTCTCTGGGACGGGCAGAGCTGGCTGCCATCGTGGAGTATAGACTGTCCCTTCATCTAAGTTCCAGGTTGGTGCTCAACTTCCCATAGTTGTTTGCAAAATGTGTAAAAATCCCCTGGAGAACGCATTCTAGCAACATTTTGTTTTCTTTTTTTTCTCAGTTAAGCCTGTCCTTGTTTGAAAGAATTTGGGAAGGAACATTTGCAGTTTTTCAACATCTTGCTTTTTTCTCTGTGCATGCGTCTCTCACTTTTTGCGTGTGGGAATCTGCCCAGGGAGGCTTTGAAATATTTCAAGCGACAGACCAAAGGAAGTTTAATTTAATATGAGCAACTCTTTGCCTCAGTATTTTTTAACCAGAAGATTAAAACAGGGTGACTATTTATTGATTTATTTACATGGTGGAGGTTTTTGCTGGTACAAGGGACGGAGCTGTTGAAATCTGGTGATTAGAAAACAGGGAAGCATCTGAGTTACAGCTGATTTGGGCAGTGGACAGTACAGGTATCTTAGAAAACAAGGGATTGGAAATTATTACACTGCAGAGAGATTTACCATTTCAAAGGATCAGGGATGGAATGTCAGTGGTCCAAGTCCCTCCTGCTGCCACCTTGAGGCTCACTTCCCCAGTGGAAGCAGGATGGGGCTGTTTTCTCCTAGTCTGAAAAGGACTGGTCATTATTGGGGAGTGAGAGCTGCTACGTGTTTAAACAGCAATTTCAACATAGACGTGTACAGAATAAAAAACACAACAAACACCCAAAGCTGTTATACTTAGGGCAGCAAGAAAGTATTATTTGTGCTTAACTTTGCCTTCATGAAATTTTGAAGGGCACTTTTTTTTTTTTTTTGGTTACTGTGACAAAATGTCTGAAGAAAGCAACTTAAAGGAGGAAAGACTTATTTTGTCTCACGGTTTCAGAGGTTTCAGTCCTTGGTTGGCTGGTTCAGTACATGAGCCTTTTAGGAGGACACTTTGTATGCAAACCATAAAAAAGGGTCTGATACCTATGGTTTATTGAACACTGGCTATGTGCCCAGCACTGTACTGGGTACTTTGGGTGTTATCTTAATCTGCAAAACAACATTATCAGGTGAATATTATTAGTCCTATTTTACAGAGAGGATTGGAAAGAGGCTTAGATCTCTGGATCAATCCGCCTGCACCCCTTTCCATGAAATAAACATGGAGAGGTAATTACGCAAACCACTGCGCGAAGTGCCAATAGCGCACTCGTAAATGCAGCTCAACTGCCTGAGCTTGGTAGATTTATGGCTAGTGGAGAACACCGACATCTTTGAGGGGATCAATTACATGGATTGTTTCAGCTAAAGACAGATATAAGGTGGGGAGGTTACAGAAAGCTTTCTGGAAAAGGAGACACTCAGCAGAGCGTGGAAAGATAACGAGGTGAAGAAGTGGGGTTTAGTGAAGAATGTCCCAGGCAAGAGGAGTGGCATAATATATGCAGGGACCCTGAGGAATACAAGGACAGCAAGTGGTGAGAAGGGCCTTGAATGCTTACAAGTGCTTACCTTTCCTGGAAGCCAGTGAGTTTCAGCTGTGAAGGATGAAGGAGAGGGAGAAATCCAGGATGATTTTCAGCTTCCTGGCTTGGGGACCTGAGTAAATGGTGATACCATACACTAAAATGGGAGGAAAAAATTGCACATCAAAGTGGATATACCCAGGAGCAGTAAATGAGCTGCAGGCTTAGGGAATGAGGTATAGGCTGGAGAAATATTCAGATATTCAGTGGTTTGTTCAGCATCAAAGCTGATCTCCAGTGGGACCTGAGCTAGGAAAGGAAGGTTAGGTTGGGTTTTTTTTTTTTTTTTTTGTTGGAGGTACTGGGGTTTGAACTCAGGGCCTCATGCTTGCTAGGCAGGTGTTCTTACTGCTCAGCCACTCTGCCAGCAGGAAGGTTAGGTTGTGAGCTCAGGCTCTGGAAGCTGCCTGCTTGATTTAACACCCTCTTCTGCCATTTGCTTGGTATCTTGCGTAGGACAGGTTAAACAGTCTGATCCATAGGGTCCTCATTTGTAAACTGGGCTATATGGTTTCCTATTGCTACTGTAACGAGTCACCACAATGCAAATTTAGTATCTAACAGTTCTGAAAATGGTTCTTCCAGGGCTAAAATCAAGTGTTGATGGAATAGCATTCCTTCAGGAGGTTCCATGGTGGTGGGAGGGATCCATTTTTTGCCTTTTCCAGCATTTAAAGGCTGCTTGTCTTCCTTGGCTTATGACCTCCTTTCAGGAATGGCATGCCTTGCACCTCTGCTTCTGTCATCCCATCTGCTGTGAACACCTGCCTCCTCACAGGTGGCATTGGGCCCACAGGTGGAATTGGGCCTCACTTGTGATTGCATTGGGCCCATCCTGGGTAATCCAGAATGATAATCTCAAGACTTTTGCTCTGTCTGTAAAATCCCCTTTACTATGCAAGGTAACATATTGACAAGAACTAGAACATGTACACCTTTGAGGAAACCATTACTCTGATTGTCACACAGAATAATGACAACATACTGTTGCTATAGAGGTTAAATGAGATAACTATGGGATATAGGGTGCATATTTATTGCAGTTGGCAAGACAGATGGTAGGTAAAGGTCTTGCTCTTAAGCTCATCTTTTTGATGCAGAAATTAGAAACTAAACTGTACATGTAATAAGGCTGGTGTAGTAAGTATGGGAAAAGGCTGGAGGAGGGTGCTCATTTGTGAAAAGTGGTCAGAGAGCTTTGCTGAGAAGTTTGAGCACAGACCTAAGGAAAATGAAAATGTGATCTTTGGAGACACCAAGGGGCAGAGCAGAGCATTTAAAGGTGAGGAGGCCAGTGTGGTTGGAGTGAAATAAGCAACAGGGTGAGTGGTGGTGAGCAAAGGAAGCTAGGGAGTGGGGACAGACAGGTGATGCAAAGCCTTGGAGGCAGTTTGAATTTTACAGTGAAATGGGAAGCCATGAGTGAGCCACGCTCCATGAGCAAGGACTGATATGAACTGACAAATTGTAAAAGAATCACTCCAAATGCTGAGTGAATAAAAGGGAAAGCAAGGTGAGCCTTTAGGAGGCTCGTTATCATCCAAGTGAAAAATACTAGTGGCTTGGATCACGATGGCAACAAAGGGGATATTAAGGTCAGGGGAGGTATATTTTAAAGGTGTGACCAATAGGATTTATGGATGAGATTAGACATAAAATGTGAGCCAAACATGATGTAACTCCTAGGTGTTTTGGAAAGACGAAATGGGCATTTGCTCAAAGAGGGAAGCAGGTGGAAAAGCAGATCGAGGGGAAAATAGGGAGTTTGGTTTTGGTCAGGTTAAATTTGCTCTGCCTACTAAACGTCTGTGTGGAGATGTTAAGCAGATCATTTAAAGTGTGAGTTCAAAAGAGATATCTGGGTGGGAGATCAGGTACAGTGAAAAAAGACTCTTAAAGGTCTCAACCAATGGGCTCCAATGTTTAGAGATGAGAAAGACAAGAAGAGAGAAAAGGAGACTGAGAAGGAACAGTGAGAAAAGAGGGAGTTGGGTGAAGAGTAGTTCAGACAGGGTGACCATGTCAAAAGCTCATATGTATTACTATAATTCACCACCCTGTATCTACCTATTTGGGGAAAATCTATTTCCTCCAGTTCTATGACATTAGTCCGAGGAACCATTTCTAACATTGCCTTTATTATTGAATGAAGTTCTGCTGCAGGGCACAGGGCACTGGGCCTTTAGAAAGGACTCCTGAAGGAGGGCCAGGAGAAGCATCAGAAGTGCATGCGCGTAAACAGGTTTGTCACTGGCCCTGCAAATGTCCTCATCAGAAGCTCAGTTGCCCACCTGGAGTGAGTTTGGTGAGGGACGGCTGCGGATGCTGCAAAATCTGTGCCAAGCAACCAGGGGACATCTGCAATGAAGCTGACCTCTGTGACCCACACAAAGGATTGTACTGTGACTACTCGGCAGACAGGCCTAGGTACGAGACTGGAGTGTGTGCATGTAAGTGTCTTCTGCACCTGTGGGAAAAGCTGAGTCTAGATAGGCTTTTTTCCCCCCGTGTTTGCTAATTTGGAGGGATGAGCCATATAAGGTGGGTTTAGTTTCTGTGCACCAGTGAGCTGGCTCCATTGTACTGGACACCACATGAAGTTGGCAGTACTTAGTTCAGAATGTCTTTAGGACAAAAACAAAATGTCTAAGGGAAATGCTCATGTCAGCAGGGCAGTTTGGCTACTCAGTGTAAGCAGGAACGCAATTCATTAGCAGAAAAGTGGCAGTGAGCATGGAATGAGAACATGTCTTTGGAATCAAACTGTGTAGCACCATTCAAGTTTGATAAACTCATGTCCCTGTGAAGGGCATAATGTATTAGTTAAGAATTTGGGATTTGGATTCAAATCCTGGTGGCTCTAACACAGCGACCTTGATCACGTTGTTTAATGTCTGTGCCTCAGTTATATATATCACCCATGCTTCCTATCTTATAGAGTTGGCTGGGAAGATTAAATGAAGTAACGATATAAAGCCTAAAAGACAAGCACAGTATCTGGTATGCAGAAGGATCTGGAAACATTTATTATTTACATGAGGGAACTCTATGGGGAAAACATGATCTGTCAAAGACTGGCATTCACGATATACTTTCTTGGACTGGAGGAGTGGCTCAAGTGGTAGAGTGCCTGCCTACCAAGTGTGAGGCCCCGAGTTCAAGTCCCAGTATGGACAAAATAAAAAAAAAAAAAAAAGAAGAGTCGTGCCCTGTGGCCTTAACTGGGAACACATCAGAGGAAAAACAGACATAGACCCTCCCCTCATAGAGTCAAAGTTTGTTGTATCAGATCTACCCACAAGTCATTTCATACAAAATGGCAGGCTGAGGATGGGGATAACCTGTAACTAAGATCACAAATGATTATTTGGGGCCAGGTCTAGCTCATAGCCAGTTTGTCAATAATGTGTTATAGGAACACGGCCCATTCATTACGTAGCGTCTGTACCTGCTTTATAATGGTAGCGCAGTCCAGAGACCACATGGCCTGGAAAGGCTATTTACTACTTGGCTCTATCCAGAAAGTTTGCTGAGCTCTGATCTAGAACAATGGTTTTAGAACTTTTTGGTTTGGAGAGCTTTTTACAGTTTTAGAAATCACTGAGGACCTGAAGAACTTTGTTTAGGTGGATTTTAATCTTATGGATATTTGATAGATTAAGAATTTAAAAATATTTAATGATTACTTTAAATATAACAAATCCACTGCAGATTAATAGGAATGCTATATTTGCATGAAAATTTATTATTCACAACAAAGAAAAATTTAGTGAGGAGAGTGGCATAGTTTAGTTTTGCAAATCTAATGTCTAGTTTAATGGAAGACAGCCAGATTCTCACATCTGCTAATACTCTCCACTTGTCATGATATGTTTTCCTGGTTAAAATATAGAAGAAAATCTGGCTTCACACAGATAAGTAACTGGAAAAGGAAAGACTATTTTAGCAAGCTTTTCAATAATTATGAATATACTTTTTGATATTAAAATGTGACAAGTGATAGTTCCTTAAAAGTAGCTGCATTATGGAATCTAAAAACCCATCAGTGAACTTTCAACCTCATGACATTAAAATATCCAAAACCTGCTGGGTGGGGTGGTGCAGGCCTGTCATTCCACCACTTAGGAGGCTGAGGCAGGAGGATCGCCAGTTCAGAACCAGCCTGGGCTGCATGGTGAGATCCTGTCTCAAAAACAAAAAAAAACAAACAAAATAAAACAAAAAGTCTAAAATCCACTTGGTATGGGTATTTTATTCATGCATAATTTTGTCATTCTATGTGTTGATTATTTGGAAAATATTTACTGTATTATGTAAATCCAAACTACACTCCATTATATAGTATTTAAAACTATCACTCTCATCAGAAAAATCTATATATTGGGTAGCTATCAGGGTCTCAGTGGTGGATACCAGTTTTCTGAAATTTAAATTTTTGCTTAAAAGCTTGAATTCTGTCATTGGCAACAAATACTGTCAATTGTTTCCCTGTAAGTGACAAGTTCACTCTGTTCATTTTCAAGAAAATATCCCAGATACCCAAGTCTGAATATCCATAGTTTATCTGTCAGTTATTTCTTTAAAAAATGGGCTAGTATAGCTTACAGTCTCAATGCTAATGTAGGTGGTTTTTCCTCAAGAGAGCAAAATAGCTAGTACAAAGAGATAGTACAAAAATAGTACACGGTATACTGTATATATACTTTGCCATACAAAATACTAAACAGACATGACTAGGACTTAATAAAATTAGGTTTTTTACGTGTGTGTGTGATACTGGGGTTTGAACTCAGGACTTCATCTTGCTAGGCAGGCACTCAACCCCTTGAGCCACTCCACCAGCCCTAAAATTAGTAATTTTTTACTGTGCCATCAAGGACATTCCTAGGTAAAGCTAGTTTTTTTTTTTTTTTTAAGTACAAGCAAGGAAGAACACAGTGGCTACCCATATAGTTTTATTCATGCAAAAGCATGGAAATTTTAGACACCTTTTTTGTACCAGCAGTACAAATATCAGCAGTGAAAAAAGCCTGTCACATCTTATTATTTTGAAAAAGAGTTTTGACCTTGCAGACATTCACTTATCCTGTTTTCCTAAGAATATAGTGTAGCCTGTTTTTGTACATCTGGGGAAACCTGCCTCACAGGCATCAGTATCTTTCTGATTTATAATCATCTTATTGCCATATTAAGATTCTTAGAAATTAACTTTACTCCAGAACAAAGCTTTTATATGGTTTTAATTTTGGTAGTGACCATTTTGCAGGTTTCTAGACTATGATATAATGAAAATCCTCATTTTAACCTTTCTGTAGATGGTTCTATGAGGGAGGTTCCAAATGGTTTCTTAGGGAGCTTAAGAAAATGAGAACTATATTTCTTAAAGGATGTAGTTCTTTCTTTTAAGGTGTGTAATTAAAGCTCTTACTATCCAAGTTATGGCAATTTTTCTTTTTTTCTTTCTTTTTAGACCTTGTAGCTGTTGGATGTGAGTTCAACAGGGTTCATTATCAGAATGGCCAAGTGTTTCAGCCCAACCCCCTGTTCAGCTGCCTCTGTGTGAGTGGGGCGATTGGATGCACACCTCTGTTCATACCCAAGCTGGCTGGCAGCCACTGCTCTGGAAGTAAAGGTGGAAGGAAGTCTGATCAGTCAAACTGTGGCCTGGGACCATTACAACAGCAGCTCTCAGCAAGCTACAAAACAATGCCAGGTGCTCATAAGTAGAACAGTTTTTCTTGTATGACTTCTGATGGTTTTGTGTTCTTTTTGTGTATGATAGGTACTGAATGTGAACTTATGGATTGGTGATCAGAGGTAGAATTAATCTGAGTGTATCATCCTACTCAGACTTTGCCTCAGGGAGGTATATTCTAAGTATCTGAAAAGAAAATTTCATATTTTAGATTTTGCCAGTAAAATATTTCAACTTTTAAAAGCTCTATTAGGTCAGAAAACTATTCTAAAATATTACACTTCTGCTTATTTTCAACCTCTTGTACCAAATATTGTTCACTTGTACACGAGAAAAACGTTGTATTGTTCTATTATGGGCAAGAAGTTTGACCATCCAGCTTCCAAAATTTTCAGAAGTGACTTTTCTGTAAAAGCAGAAACAGAAAGCTACCGGTTAAAGAATATTTGAGAACTAACACTTTTGAACCTCAAAGTATTATTTTAAAAATAGAAAATTCATACAAAGATCTTCCATTCACTCTAAAATTGAAGCTCAACAATTATCAATATGCCTTTCTAATTATACACGTTCACACACACCACACAGGGGCTTTACAAAGTAGGCTACTCATGCATGTAGAAATAAGATTCTTTATTTTGACCTAAACATTTGCAGGTGAAAATGGTTTTCTGGCTGTTTTAAATTAGCATCTTAGAGCTGGGGTATGGCTCAAGTGGTAGATCAACAATCTAGTAAGTGTGAGGCCCTGAGTTCAAACCCCAGTATCACACACATATGCACACACACATAAGGTAGCACCTTAAAACAGTGTTTTTGTGTCCCCACGGTATTTGGGAACAGAAGTTTCAAAACACCAGCAAATGAGGTGTAGGAGGGAGGGCACAGAAGAGGGGCAATATTGATGGCAGGTTCTTGCTCACATCTCTGAGTTCTCATCCAGAAATCCAGAATGGCTTTTCCTTTAATTTAGGGTTTAGTGAAAGGTATCATGAAGGCATAGAATATTTGTGTATGCTAAAAATTCTTCTAAACTCATATTTATTATGTGGATAGTCAATAAAAGCAACTATATTCAGAGAAATGAGTTTTAGACATCTATGTTATGAAAAGGACACCTGTAGGGACTCCAATATCAGTTAATTTGAAAAAAAATTTACCAGATTGAGGTGAATTTGCATTTGCCATACATAATTATTTAGCTAGCAACATGACACGAGTGCTTTAAAATGATAAACCAAATTGTTCCTTTTTTTCTTTTTCTTTTGGTACTGGGGGTTGAACAAAAGGCCTTGCACATGCCAAATTTGTGCTGTACCACTGAGGTTCACCACAGCCCCCAAACTGTTGTTCCTTTTTCAAAACATTCAGGAATAGTTGGTTTCCTGCATTAATCTGAGTGATTAATATAAACCTCTTCATAGAATCCAGGCATTAGTCTCACTGAGAAACTACCTCAAAGCAGCACTTTTTGACAAGGAAAGCCCTTTGGGTCAAGTTCAAGTTGGTTTCATTTGTGGACCTACTGCAGTTTCAGTGGAGTCTGGTTGAGGGAGGCATCAGATGGTTATTCTTAGTGGTTGGTCCTTTGCTACAAAAGAGAAAATCTCGCAAAATACTCTCTGGTATTTGAGATTTAGACCTAGGTATGTTTCAGAGGAAGGAAACGTTCAGGCTGATGCCTCTCCTTTGCCTAACAGTAGTATTTATGGCCCACATAGGAATTTGACTTTCACAGTTAACTACATGACAGAACACATACTTTAAGATACCTGTGACAGAGCTTAGGAGTCTATTGTTGGAATCTAGCTTTTGCTGGATATGAAGCATGCAATGACATAATGCCCTTGTGCTTTTCTCAGTGCTCATGAAAACTAAGCTTTCATTTTACAAGTCTCTTCTAATTTCCTTGCTTTTTAATGAATGTTAAACAAATTCCTGAACTGCAGGTCTTGGTTTAACTTAAGTGGGATTACTGGTAATACAACAATCTAACCCACCTTTATTTATTGCAGATGTCTGCCAGGCTTCTAATCTGCTTCCTGCACTGAGGTCTTTAAACTGTTGTCTGCCTTCCAGGTATCTTCATGTTTCTGCTTCCTCTCCCTCAGTTCTATGTGCAGTGCAAGAGCCTACTGCAATAACACCAAGAGAGCAGCTCATACTATCATTTTATTTAAAGACAGCACATACTTCAAAGTGACTGATATTTCCTATCAAGATGCATTGCTATTTTTTTAAAGTTTTAAATTAGTAGTTTGAAATAATAAAGCTAGAACTTTTAATTGTAGACTCAAATTATAACCTCACTCCAAAAGCATCCATTTTAGGATGTACATTAATTTTAAGGAAATACCTTGAGACAGTAAATCAATATATAGTCTGCTTAAAATGAACCAAGGGTTTGATTTGCTCATGAGTGTGACAAAAATCTCCAAGTGGATTTACATGGGAGAGGAACTATTCTCTTCCCCCGTTTCTCCTAAGCAGTGGACAGTGGAGAATTCTGTCACTGACTCATCCACAGTCCAGTTCCATTCATTTCCTAAGACTATGGGTGATGTGAAATGACTGGCCAATGGGGAGTACTGGTAACACAGAGACTATGACAAGTTAAACTGGATGAAAGAGATACATATTTATAATACCTTAGTGTAAAAAAATTAGTTTAGTGCAATGTAAATATTACTTCAATTCATTAGAGAATTTCCTAAAAGACTAGACTCAAAAAAGTGGAAGAAAACTGGTCTGATTATCTAGTTCTCAAATATATTTTGTCATATTTTAAATTTTAAAATATCAGGAAATTTAACATTAATTTTGTTTGTTTTGTGTTTTGGTGGCACTGGGATTTGAACTCAGGGCTTCATGCTTGCTAGGCAGGTGCTCTTACTGCTTGAATCACTCCACCAGCCCCCAAATTTAACATTAACACTGCACTATTCTGTCTGGTGTTGGGTGGCACATGCCTGTAATCCTAGCACTCAGAGTAAGTCAGAAGGATTGAGAGTTCAAACCCAGCCTGGGCTACATAGCAAAACCTATCTGAAGAAAAAAAAAAAAAGACCACACTATTCTGATTAATGTCTTTAATTCCCTAATCCTACCAATGCCTATTTCAATATCTATTGGAAATATCAAGCATGAGGCAGAACCAAAGGAAAAAAGACATCACTCAGAATATAAGTTTAGATTTAATTGACTCAGAGGATGAGGCAGGCAGAGTGATGGAAATGGAAATTCACTCAGTTTTTCAAAGATAAAGAGCATTTTTCCTCATGAGAAACTGGACTGTAGGCCTTGATTGAAAAGTAACTTCGATGGTGGGAAAAGGGACACAAAAATGATGAATTAGACCATAAGATTCTTTTATTAAAAAATAGACATTCAGATTTTTAAAATATTGGCTTAATGATTAAAAATTATGTCTACATAAGTATATACATATGTATAATGTGTACCTTTCCTTATTTATTTTAGCTTATAGAATATCCCACTTACTTGGAAAAGAAAATGTCTTGTGCAAGCAACAAAGTGGACTCCCTGCTCCAGAACATGTGGGATGGGAATATCTAACAGAATAACCAATGAAAACAGCAAATGTGAGATGAGAAATGAGAAAAGACTATGTTATGTTCAGCCTTGCAACAGTAATATATTAAAGACAGTAGAGGTAAAGTTTAAATAGATACAACTTAATTGACTAACTAAGTATTAAGAAATTCCTGCAAACAAAATGTATATTTTGGAGGGAGGGACAGTATTTGGTTCTTATAAAAATGAAGTCACCTCATTGTAACTCTTAGTCAAATTATCTGAAAGGAAAACAGATACTGATCTAACTATACTTGTGGGGAAAATTTTACCTAGTAGAGGTAATGATAACTTGTGGATTCTAGATATTCTAATAGCTTAATAATGTGGTTCCTGATCACCCTGATTTGTTGTGGCAACCCTCTGTGTGTATTGTTCTCTAAAGTAGATCCTTTTCATATTCTATTTTTTCCATATTAATTATAGTTGTGGAATCAAAGTAATGAATATAAGATTTTGGCTGCTACACCAGAAGTTCTGATGTTAGTTACGTACCACCAACTTGGAGGTAGACTACACCATTTCCAAAATGCTCTGTACTTAAGAGTTAACTTGCCAGAGAACCATGATAAAACATTTACCCTAAGACTGCATGACAGAACTGGAACTAGTCCTATTCTTGAACTGGGCAAGATAATTGTCTCAAAAAATTAATTTTTAGAAATGCTGTATTTCCTGTCATATTAGCAAGTTGATAACCCAATTTTAAAGGGATTAAAATGTTTATTCACTTACCCATTCACTCAAAACTGTTTGAGTATGTTAAGGAATTTGCTAAGTCTTTGGTAAATAAACATTTAATAAGACATAGCTTTTGACATTAAATAAAGCAAAGAAATTTCCATTTATTGTGGAATTGAGTAAAGGCAGATCGCAAGAAATGTTGAGGACCGAGTTCTATATGATGGAGGAAGAACAGGAGGACAGACTTCTAGTTGAGAGGGGATTTTAAAGGTAGAGAAGAGGGTGCTGGAAGTCACTAAAAAGGAACTACTATTAATGCCCCAGAAATAATTAACTTTGTATACCTGTGCTATATTCTGTGAAATATTTTTCTAAACTATTGTAATCAAATTTAAAGAATGACTTCTTTAAATTTATGTATCTTTTCAGATCCCCAAAGGAAAAACATGCCAACCTACTTTTCAGCTTTCCAAAGCCGAAAAATTTGTCTTTTCGGGATGCTCAAGTACTCAGAGTTACAAACCCACTTTTTGTGGAATATGCCTGGATAAGAGGTGCTGCATTCCCAATAAGTCTAAAATGATTACCATTCAATTTGACTGCCCAAATGAAGGGTCATTTAAGTGGAAGATGCTGTGGATTACATCTTGTGTATGTCAGAGAAACTGCAGAGAACCTGGAGATGTATTTTCTGAGCTCCAGATTCTATAAAACACATGGTGGGAAAGCCTAAGGTTAGTCAATTATGTCACATAATCAAAAAACAAAAGTGGTTATAGAAGGGTGACAAATCTACTTCAAAGGTTTAATATAGTACAAATACCTAGTCATTCCCAGATCACTGTATTTAAGGAAATAGAAGTTTCTAAGAGTTTTTCCTAAAAATATATATAAAACTTGAAAAACTTAATTAGGTAATAAATAGATATTTGGTACCATCATATAATGCATAAGAAAACATTTTATTTTACAAAATAATCTGAAATGCTTTGTTTATAATGTGTAAAAACGCATATTAAATTAAAAAAATTAAATCTATACTTGGGAATGAGGCGTATGCTCCTATCAGATGATAATCAGTAGGGGATAAATAAGACTGGATTAATTCTTAAATAGAAATAAGATTAGACTGTAAGTGTATTTATAATTTTCCCTGCCCTATCCTGAATATCAGTTAAGATTTTTTCTGGACAGGAGAAAATGAAACTTCCCTGACTACTGATAGCATCTGTTATCCAGAAATTTTTATACCAAATATCACTAAATTTCCAAGATAATGACCAAGAACAGTATCATTACTTTGCAAAGGAAAGAAACTTAAAAAACAATCACTAATAATCCTTAGATTACTTTGGCTTAAAAAGAAATTGTTTCTAAAAATTATTTCCTTAAGAGATAAATCAATCTATGGATCTGAAATATAAATTATGATTAAAAATAATTTTAAAGATGCAAAGTAGAGATTAATTGGGACAATTTCACTAGACCTTTATAGCATTTACTCCAAAGTTTGAAGGAAGAAAGATATCCAGGTTACAATGCTATTTGCTTATATAAATGATGACATACAAAACAATGGTAACAAGTAATACTGTTTAAAAATATGCTTTAATAGTATTTATTATAAAAATCAACTGGTTTAACAAGAAAGCAATTATATTTAAAAAATTAGTATTCATTGTAATTCTTTTGATTATAAGCATGTTGTTAACCAAACAGAAAACAAAATCCCTGAAGTTAAGTGGGTATTACATTTAATATTTGTATTATGTTCTTCTCCTACTTACTTTTAAGGAACCAGGAGAATTTAAACAGAACATCAAAATACAAATTATAAATAAATATAAAAATATGTCTCTACAGAATATTTATTGAAGACATTATTATCAGCATATAAAGATCTAAATATGAGGCTATAAATATAGCAAACTGTTGGAGAGCTCCGTGCTCTTAATTTTCACAAACTGAAGTGAAGTTAGAACTTCACTAATTTCACACACTGATATAAACAAATTGTGATCAAACAGAAACCACTCTTCAAGACAAAATACTTCCTGACAATATGAAAAACAAACTGGGCTTTCAAAGTCACAAAAATGCTGAAACAGAAAGGTGATGAGAAACAGTGTGAAGCTGGGAAAAAGTAACGACAATATTGCTTTGGTTCTTTGTCACACGGCTATGCTTAGCCTAGGTATGTCCTGCACAGGCATGCTCTTTGTGGCATCCAGTTGGTTGTACTCCTGAATGAGTGCTGACAAAGACGACACAGCTTCCCTGAAGCAACTTTCCTCCATCCCTTCAACTTGTAGATAGTGATGGAGGTGAGCCTATAATTGAAATACTGGAGAATGTTCACTGTTTCAGGAACTTTAACACATACAACTATTCTATATGGTAAATGTTCTTGGTTAAAATTACAGATCATTCAGCTTTACAATGGTAAATAAAAATTTGAGTAAAATAAATATTTTGCCTAAATCCTATGAAATAATGAAATTTCCTGTTTAGAGTAAAAATAGTGTGTCTCTCCTGTTACAATCAATACGGCACATATGGTAGACAAGCTCAGCCCTGATTTGTAACAGTGTAATTCATCTTAGCTAAAATAAACACAGCTACAAAGGTGTGTAATTACCTTTTTCTTGTAGAGCCTCATGAACCTTTCTCTCAGTTCTATGAAGGTAGGCTTCACACATGTGTTATTTGCTAAAGCTAATAATGAATGTGAGTGGCCCACAGGTGGCACTGAACACAGGCTGGTCTTCCAGCCTTCTTGATTCCAGGAGACAAACTGCAGAGCAGGTTTTAATCTGTGACACAAAAACTCAAAGGTAAGAACATCTACTCCATTATGGCAGTCCACTTTAGTTAAACAAGGATATCACTGATAGTACCATTCTAATTGCTTTGTTCATAATCCAAATTATCTGTTTTTTACCATTAGCAGTATATCATGGGACAATATGATAGAAAACAGACATTTAACAGAAGGACATTTAATTGGCCATGATGGTGATTTAAAAAGATAGAAACACATTGCTTAAGTTTAGAAATCCGGGATAAAAGGAAATGAAGGTGTAATTTTTCCTGCTCTGTAATTCAACAGAGTAATTCTGCTGAAAATAAGACTGTCAAATAACAAAAATAAACTTAGAAGCTATGTAGCAGTAATAGTGGTGGTGGTAATAAAAACAGTAACCTGTAATTTTTTGAATACTTTCAGAAAATAAAACAGCTTACATACATTTAATATTCAGAAATAACAACTTTATACTATTATCTCTACTTTACACTTAAAGAGAATAAGGGACAAAGCAGCTAGGTGGCTTGCCCAAGGTTACACTTTAGGAAGTCAGAAATAACAACTTTATACTATTATCTCTACTTTACACTTAAAGAGAATAAGTGACAAAGCAGCTAGGTGGCTTGCCCAAGGTTACACTTTAGGAAGTGACACTACTATTTACTAAAGGCATCTGAAAACATCTGATCCAACCTACAACAAGAGGCACTATTGATACAAAATAATAGGTCTTTCTTTTAGGCATAATAATAAAATGAAAAGATGTTAATATGGCAGCCTTTGGAATTATTTACAATACACTAGGAGCAAATTCAAAACCCACCAAATCTCTAAACATCAGAAAGAACTTTGCAAAAAATTTATTAAGAGTCTAACATTTTAAAGTTCCCTACAGATTTTTACTAACACATTTTTTTCATTGTTCAAGGATTTTTAAAATTTATTTTTAAATTACTATAATTTTTATTAGGATATATTCATTATACAGGGTGGGATTCGTAGTGACAATTCTGATTAGACTTATGTTGTACGTTATTTATATTGCCCCCATTGCTCTCCCCCTTAACTCCCTCCCCACCCTACTTAAAGCAATTGCAAGAGGTTTTTTAGTTCTGTTTCATATATGAAGTACATCAACCATATCTCCTTCCTTCACCTCCCCCCTTACTGTCACATTTTAATTAAAAAACAAATCTTCAGGTTGGTGGAGTGGCTTAAGTGGTTGAGTGCTCCCTAGAAAACGTGAGGCCTTGAGTGCAACCCCAGTACTGCCAAAACAAACACAAATCTTCACCATAAATTATTCTGATTAAAAAATGTTGATGCAAGTATTACTTTTATTAAACTGTACCAAGTAGGATTGCAAGATATTCATTTGACTTTGAAACACTCAGGACCAAGTGAAAACATTTTTTTCCTTTGTGTTGAACTTAATTAGAAATTCTACGTTTTTGTTTCCTAAGAGAATTAACTTTATATATAAAATGTCTGAATCATATTATTTTATAGTAACAGTGTGCTACCAATTTACTTTCTGTATGTCCATATTAAAAGTGTCATTCTTCTTTTAATCTAATATGCTGGGCTGATACTAGCGAACAATGAATGATTAACATGTTCCATATTCTGTGTGTATGCTGCTTCACTTGTTAAGATTATTAGGATCTGATTCATAAAAGGAGTCCTACCTATTAATTGGCCTAAGTGGTCATTTGCAGCTGGCTCAGATGAAAGTTAATTAGCATCATTTGTGGTATTACTGAAGCATAGACATTGCTATCTTGCTGAAACTTTAACTGTAAAAAAGAGTCTTTAGTTTTTACTTTGTCATTTACATCCTCTCCCTGAGTTTGGCAGGACCCTTTTCCTTTCAACTAGGAATGCCAGTGTGCACTTCTCAAGCTCATCATCACTGTATATGCCAAAAGCATCTTTTAAAACCATTTTTGTTAATGTAAACTTTATGCTTAAAAAATACCACATACACAGTTACAAAACAAAGTGTTCCAGAAATGATATACAATAGCTACCATATGAAAGCCTTCTATTGATACGAGGCTGTGATAAGAGCTTTAAACATAATTTTTTTTTTTTTTTGGTGTACGGGGGATTGAATCCAGGACCTTGCACTTGCTAGGCAGGTACTCTACCACTTAAGCCATTCTTCCAACCCTCTTTACCTTGATTATTTTTGAGACAGGGTCTCACTTTATGCCAACCTGCCTAGACCATAATCCTATTTGTTTCTCTGTACAGCTGGGATGACAGGCATGTGCTACTGTCCCCAGCCACTGATAGAGTTGGGGTGTTGAACTTTCTGCCTGGGCTGACCTTAAACTGATATTTGCCTGAGTAGCTAAGATTACAGGGTTGAGCCACTGCTCCTGGTCAAAACATACCCTTATTTAATCTACCTAACAAGCATATAAGGTAAGTACTCTTTGATTTTTGACAGATGAGAATAACTAAGAAAAACAGATAAGTCATCTGCCCAAGGTCCTGTAGCTAGTAAGTGACAGAATTAGGATTCAGACTTAAGTCTGTCAGACTTTATTATTTTCAAAAGTCATTTAATCACTTCCAATAGTCTAATACTAAACAATTACTTTTAGGAAGCATTCACCTAATTAAAAAAAAATCAACTGTATTTTATATACTTCTCACAAAATTATTATGAATAACTAGACTTAATGTGAACTTTTTTTTCTTAAAATTTTTGTTTTGAAAAAGAACTTCAAGTTCTCAAGAAGCCGGAATTCAGTTACATCTTACCTTCGAGGAGGAATGTTAACATCTGCCAGTGTATACAAAGGTGTCAGGCTTGACACAAGATAATGAAGTTGAGGAAAAGGAACTAAATTCATGCTGATTTCATTAAGGTCCATATTAAGAGACCCTTCAAACCTTGCAGAGCTAAAAATAAGACATATAAAACAATGAGAATAGTTTTAATTTAAAAATTTTGTACTTTGAATTTAACTTATTTAGTAGACATTTTCTCAAATCTTTTTGTACAATGTGCAGTGTAGAAATAGCTCTTTTCCTGTATTATTGGAACTCAGTACCATGAGCAATTATGTATATAATGATGCTCAAGAAACACCTGAGAGCCAAGTCATGAAAATCTACTGGATCAGTTAAAATCATATCGATTAGTTAGTTTAAAAGATTAAGATGTTGTACAGGGAAAAAAAGTTTAATTTTGTCCAACCAAGTGTAGCTTAAGGGTATCTATACAAAACAGCTTATTATTGAATACCCACTAATATTTCATGGAATATACTTGGAGAAATGATGCTTTGGAGTCACAGGAATTAAAATTTTGACCTATAACTCCAAGAGATGAAAATATGAGACAGAATAAAAACAAAAAAGCTCCTACAACCTAGAATAAAAAAATGCTACTGGGCTGGGGGTGTAGCTCAGTGTATAGTGCTTATATAGTGCTTATAGTAGCATGCTTAAGGCCCTGGGTTCAATACCCAGCATCACAAAAACAAAAATGCTACTACAAAAATTTAAAACATCATCAAAAGCATAGTGAAGTTTTTGATTCATTTTACTTAGACAGGATTACCTTGTTAGGTTGAGTAGCAAATTTGCCACAATGTTGTTCATTGCATCAAAGGGCTTCTTGTGCCGTTTTTTGAAAGCCTCAGCATTTGAAGTAATCAGACTCTTTGGCTTCACAATCGTACCCAACTTTCCAGAATTCACCATCAGGTCAATTTTGCTAATGATGTCAAATAAAGACTTTTGAGAGAAAAACATTGGGAGAGAAAGCTTTTAAAAAAAGTGGGCTGTACTTACTAGGAGAGACAGAAGAAAAAGAAAAACAATTTAAGCTTATTTTTTCCTCGTAGATGGAGAAGACTACAAAGTGAAGAGAATGTTTTGTATAAACTAATAAGTATCAACACAGTATTAAATGTAACTTCTCTATAAGTCCCAATGTCATTCCTTACTTGATTGTCAATGGGAAGCACACAGTCTGCATGCTCATTAAGTTCCTTCATTGCCAAGATGCTATTGTAAGGTGAGGTTATGACATCATCCTCAGCAGAAGGATAAATTGAAGTCACAAATCTGTGTACTTCTGGGAATTCATCTTCAAGCACCTTTAAAAGAAATGTGCCAAGTCCAGATCCTGTTCCTGAGGATTAAAATTTCAAAAAGAAAGCAGCATAAATGATTCAGAATATAATTGTGAGGAATATAAAAGTTTTATTGTATTTACAGGCATAATTTTCAACTTATTCCTGGGATTGTACATTAATCTAATTTCAGATAGGGAAAGGAAGGCAGCATGGATTGTCAGGCATAAAGTCCTGAATTTTATCTCAGGCTCTAACCATGAGTCTGGGATGGCTTTCTGTATTTCATTCTTTTTCATATTTAATTCATTAGATGTCAAACAAACTGACTGAACAGTGAAAAATTCACCAAAGACAAATTCAGCTTACAGTTAATATTAAGTGACTTAAGAAAACACTATTTTGAACAGCTTTGGTTAGTATACATAATAGTTTTAATGAGGAAGAAAACCATGATGTTGTTAGCAGCATAAACACTGAGTTAAAATTGTTTAAAATTAAGCAAATACATTTTGAATTTACAAAATTTTCAAATATAAAATGTTGCTACCTACTTTTTAAAAGCATTCTAGGAATCTCATTAAAGATAACTTTCTATAGCACAGTTACTTTTATATAAATTCATAAATTTTTCAGAACTTAAAGAGAGAAAACTAGAATTAACTTGGTGTGCTATGAAACTAATTAGATTGGTTAGTGTTTTCTTAAATGAAGCCAGTAGAAAGTATCAATGTATCACATGTAGTATGGACAAATGATGTTTTCTGAATGTTTGTGTACATGCCTGTACATTGCTTTGTAAGAGAAAATGTATTTTTTACCATTCTGGTTAAAAAAGTTTAAAGCCAATAAATATTAAAAGGCTGTAACACTGGGCTGGGGCATGGCTCAGATGGTAGAGCGTTTGCCTAGCAATTGTCAGGCCTAGACTTGTCGGGGTGGGGATTGGGCTATGATGCTTAAAAAAAACTAAATGAAAGTAAGGGAGTCTTTGAGTAATCTTTCAGGACAGTGAGAGGGAAATGGAAAGTTTTACATTGTTACTAATTATGTGAACTGGTGTAATACTGTAGGAAGGTATATAAATAGCATCAATCAAAATTTAAAATATTCATATTCTTTGATCCCATCTTCCTTTCTAGGAATATTCCCTGTAGCAATAATAACTAAACACTTGAGACAGAGCTGATATGGAAAGACATTTGAGAAAGACACAAAATGAAATAATGCACATTGTATGATCTCATTTATGTAAAAATATACACACATACTTTCACAGGCATAGAAACTATCTGGAAGGATAGACATTTAAAACAAATAAAAAACCAAACCTACAAGCCTGACTATCTGTGAGGAGAAGGCCTAGGGGTTAGACATGGAAGAAATTTACTTTTAGCCTTCAGCATTATTTACTTTTCCCATTTTCTGTGAATTATGAATAAAGTATATTTTTCTGAGTTATTAGATAATAGAGGGATTTTAAAAAAAAGTTATCTTTATAAATGGTAAGTCAAATTGTTGTCTTCTGAAAACTCTCAAACTTGAAGGTTAATTATACTAGTAAGAAGATCATTTGTTTCTTAATTCAATGACTATGTTTAAATAGCAATTATACCTTTAATTTTAAAATGGTATGATAGTAAATGGAAGACATCTAAAAATCAACTAGACATAGCCTGCTAAATATAACATCTTAATTTCAGCTTGGAGAAAAAAGTGGATGTTGTTAAACCCATTCTACAAATAGCAAATTATATTTATATTTTTATATTTTATTTTATATTATATTTATATATTATAAATATACAATATATTATAGTTATTTCATGGAAAAGAAGAGCAAAATAAATATTTCACTGTCAAGTTACAGGCTTCTTTGGGGAAAAGAAAGCAATGTCGAATACATATTTCTAGTTTAGGGTAATTACCATGTAATAAATGATTTAAAGGAACTGACTGAACACAAATGTCTTTTACTCTTTTTTTCTCTTATTGAAGATGAGAAGATTGGAAGGTGGTTAAAGAAAGGGCATTGATAGCTTTTGGAAAGCACACATAAAACATGCCAGAAATACTTAGTTCTAGGACTGAACAAGAAAAGTCTGAGGAGAAAGTAAGCATTTCTCGAAAGCTGAAAATTTTAAGGAAAATAAAAATTATAGAGAAAATAATTTAAATATAGTTCTGTTGACTCTTAAAAAAGGGCTTAAATTAAAAAAGAAAATTGGTAATAGTGACACTATTTCACAAAATTTTAAGATAAAAAAGTGTAATGTACAAATATTAAAACACACTCTAAGTAATTCTACTTTATCAGATATAGGCCTGAAAACAAGACTTATGTTTGCAAAATGAATGCCTACATGCACTTTAACATTGTCACAGGCAAATGAGTAAAACTTTACCTCCTCCCATGGAGTGGATTATAAAGAAACACTGCAAGCAATCACAGTGCTCTGCTGACTTTCTGAGTTTCTCTAAAATCTGTTCTTGGTAAAGACTGCCAAAAACTTTGTGACCCACAGCCCTGAAAATAAGAATGCAGATTTTAAAAAGAAATTCCTTGTATTTATTACTTCTTGATTTTTATTTTTTCTGCTCTAAATAAAAGGATTATAGAAAGAACTGAAAAAGTATAAATTTTTAATTGTACTAAGTGAAATCTATCCTTGTTTCATGTCAATAAATCATACAATATCCTATAGATATTAGATAGAAATTTAACATATATTACATAAATGGTTTCTAATTTTATCTTTTTTCTTAAGATGCAATTCTAACATAATAAGATTCTAGTTACACAGTTTTTTCTTGTTTCCATTTAAAGTAAACTCTGAACTACAGTGAATTTATTAAAAAGTTAGAATGAGGTCAACTATAAAGATGATGAAATAAAAAAATTTAAGCCTATTCTGGTTTAAAATAGGAAAGTTTGGTCACATCTCATTAGTTGAAATGGTCAAATGATAGAAAATTGATATTCATGAGGTTCTGCATGTCTTTTGGGTTGCTCAAATTTGCAAGCATCACCATGTAAATTATAAAATAATTTTCCCATTACATGCAGTTAGGTGTAATTCAAAGATTACATAAATTACACAAGCAGAGAAAGGCAAGGTGGGAGGTAAAATGCTCACTTACTAAGTGACTGGTTCCCCTGAATGAGTCTCCCAGAACACAAGATTCAAATTCATGCTTTAGTAAAATAATAAATATGAGAGTTGCAAGTAACAAGAAGCTTTATGTGTGGCAAATTACATCCTGCTTTCTAGTTAGCAGGATCTACAAGGGTAAAGGACTAAATGTCAGTTTTTTCAGACGACTTTCAATGTTTATGTTCAGCATATTCTCACCAATTATTTCCTGAGCCAGAAATATCAGTTATTAGCTGCTTGCTATCAAACACATCTCTCAAAGGTCCCTGGAGAATTTCATTTACTACCCCTTCTTCCATGTCAATCAAGACAGCCTGCAATGAGAATAAAATGGGCATATTTTTCCTTTATTTATACCATAAGTAAAAATAATTTTATTTATTTATTTTTGAGACAGGGTCACACCATGTAGTCCAGGCTGGTCTTGAATTTGCAATCCTTCTGCCATAGCCTCCTAAGTGCTGGCTGATAGCTGTGCACCACCATGCCGTCTAACATGAAAAGAATTTATGAATATTGTTCTTTTTATAGCTTAAGTTTAATCAAAATCTCTGTAGAATCTGTTATAAGAAAAAGTAATTTCACCCTGTTCAAAAGGTGGAATTCAATCAAAAAAATGGATTCTAAACTTTTTTATTCTAATCCAAATACCAAGTGGGGGAAAAAGGACCCAATAATCCCCTTAGCTGAATTTTAATAAGGCCTTAGAAATCTAGAAAACAACCTAAATTAGACGAAATTCCCAATAAATAGAAGATGCACGAATGCATTTGCTCACTTGGAATAACTGCTGTCCTTTATGAATTACAGGCAAAAACTGCCCAAAGAGCAACCTTACTATTTTGTGGATAGGTGTCAAGGATGACAAGGTCCCTTCCTCCAAGCAATTCACAATCAAATCCATTATTACAAACTTTACTGACATGGGAAATAACCTATATTACTGAGAAGAAAATGAGAATATAAAAACACAGAAGTATAGAAAGACAGCAGAAGTATGCCCCTCCTTCCATGTCTTTGTACTTTACCTTCCATATACTCTACAATGAGGGCTGGGGTTGTAGCTCAGTGGTAGAACATGTGCTTAGCACATGTGACGCCCTGGGTTCAATCCCTAGTATTCCCCAAAACTACAACACAGTGCCCCAAAACAACCCAAAAAATGGTAAAGAAGAGTGCAAAAGTAAAAAGGTTGAGTTATGGGTGTGGTGGCTCACATCTGAAATTCCAGCATTTGAGAGCCATGGCAGGAGAACCAGAGGTTCAAGGTCTGCCTGGTTACCTAATGAATTAAAATAAAATAATAAAGTAAAATAACAGTAGAGTTACGTAAGAAAGCAAAGCTGAAAAAAAGTCTGAAATAACCTTAGGGTACACAAAAGTGCACCTTAGGGTGAACCCTGTGATGAAGTGTCAAAAAAGTGTGTGTTTTTTGGCTTTTAGTTCTTGCAATCACATAACATTAAACAGTTACTGCAAGCCACTGTTGCACATTCTTATATGTATCAGCTCATTCAATCCACACAACCCTATGCTAGGTACTGTTGTTCTTATTTTATACATGATGAAACTGAAGACTAGAAAGGTTAAATAACTTGACTAAGATCACCTAGATAGTCAACAGTGAATCAAAATAGCCTGGTGGCAAAATCTTTACTCTTAGCCACAGAACTCTATGTCCTACTGTTCTAACTGAAGGGAGATGGTCAAGCTTGATATTTACACAGTACGGTCTACAACAGTTTTAATTTATACAAATTCTGTGAGTTTGTGTAGTTATACTACTGGAAGATTATAAAAGAAAAAAACCCTGACATATAACTTGTTCAATAGTTCCTTAGTCATATCAAGCCCTTGGTTTGATTTTCCCTTGGAAACTAACTTAATTTTGAGTATATTCTGGGTTCCTCACTTAGATATTCAAAGTCTGGAAGTCACAACTATTTCAGGACCTGAAGTTTGTATGAGAATAGCCTTCTGACTTTTTAAGTAAATGTAATATAGGATTTACAAAATTCTGAGTATCTGCCTCTTAGTCTAGGTTACTGGACATGGTGGAGGAAGCCAAGCACCAAGTTATCTTGTGAAGCCTGGACTCCTCAGTGATGACAGCCACATAATACCAAGAGCTCCTAAGGAGAGAACAGATGAGCATTTTCTCAGACAAAATTAAAGGCTACAGAAACATGTTGATTTATTCTTTCTTGAAGGTGTTTCCTCACCTCCCGTCCTGCTCACTGATACAGTTATAGGAAAGCTCAAATTGGGAATGGTCTAGGAAATGACAAGGTTTGGACTAGCTAGCTTTCTCTATGCCATGGAACACATTAAGTGTTAATTATCCAAACTGTCTACAAGCACATCTATGCCTTAAGCTTTATTTTCCAAGGACACCAGAGATTACAGAAACAGGAGACAGTTTTCAGGTGCCACAATACTATGGCTTTCTGGTCTTTTAGTTGCTATACCAGCTTTGATCCTTAATATCTTAATTTCATCCACTGTGTTTAAATTGCCTTTTTGTTGCAGAGAAATAATCACAGAAAAGAAATGTTGGGATGAGATTAAGATTATAAATATGGCTGTTGACTCAATTTGGGAGAAATTATATGGTTATGGTATCTATTCACTATGTGGGTAGATCTATGTTTTGCCTTGGTAGTAAACCTGATACAAATTTTCCATTACCCTTAAGTGAAAAATTAACCTGTATTAGTATTCCAGGTTCTTAAGAGTTAATAAGGAGGCTCCTTTTGTTATCCTTTAGCTAGACATCTATTTCCTCTGAAACAATGAAAAATGCTAAATGTACAGTGCTTATACTTTAGGTATGAAAATATTCCCTGAATGTTTAAGATGCACAGAAATATCTGCTTAATTTTACTTATACTAAATGTGGCTTAGTAATTTTTTTCCTTTTATTTCAAGAAATCTAATTAAGATTTTATTGACATGTTACAGAAGCATAGTTATTTTATCTAACTAATTAATCTATTTTTGGTGATATTTGGATTTGAACTCAGGCTTTGTGCTTGCCAGGCAGGTGCTTTGAGCCACATCTCTGATCCTTATAGTTATTTTAAAAACACATGCAATGTAAGAATCAAAGCATATATATCTTACTCGGGCTTTTAAAGAATGTATCTTTCCCCTGGAAATGCTGCCACCATCACCAACCACTCTGAAAGATAAAAAAAAAAAAAAAAAAAAGAAAAGGTCACTTGACCTTCCATAAATTTCTACCATTTATTTATGTTAACTTCCATTTATACAATAAGACTGGCTACAGGCCAGATAAACAGACAAAATGGTTATTCCTAATTTCCTCTTGCCTGTCTCTCATTAGGCTGAAAAAGTGAGGTACTCATTTCCCTGGCTAGCAATGTAACATTGTTTTAATCAGTGAGGTAAAGGAGAGGGAAACTTTCCCAACAAAAAGGACCAGATGTACAGGAAAGAGTAGGAACTACTCTGGAGTTACCAGGTATAGGTAAGAACTTTCTCAATGGAACCCCAGCAGCACAGCAACTAAGAGACAGCATAGATAAATGGGACCTCATAAAACTAAAAAGCTTCTGCTCATCAAAAGAAATGGTCTCTAAACTGAAGAGAACACCCACAGAGTGGGAGAAAATATTTGCCAGCTATACATCAGACAAAGGACTGATAACCAGAATATATAGGGAACTTAAAAAACTAAATTCTCCCAAAACTAATGAACCAATAAAGAAATGCGCAAGTGAACTAAACAGAACTTTCTCAAAAGAAGACATTCAAATGGCCAAAAAACACATGAAAAAATGCTCACCATCTCTAGCAATAAAGGAAATGCAAATTAAAACCACACTAAGATTCCACCTCACCCCTGTTAGAATAGACATCATCAGCAACACCACCACCAACAGGTGCTGGCGAGGATGCAGGGAAAAAGGAATCCTCTTACACTGTTGGTGGGATGTAAACTAGTACAACCACTCTGGAAAAAAATTTGGAGGCTACTTAAAAAGCTAGACATTGATCTACCATTTGATCCAGCAATACCACTCTTGGGGATATACCCAAAAGACTGTGACACTGGTTACTCCAGAGGCACCTGCACACCCATGTTTACTGCAGCACTATTCACAATAGCCAAGTTATGGAAACAGCCAAGATGCCCCACTACTGACGAATGGATCAAGAAAACGTGGTATCTGTACACAATGGAATTTTATGCAGCCATGAAGAAGAACAAAATGTTATCATTCTCTGGTAAATGGATGGAATTCGAGAACATCATTCTGAGTGAGGTTAGCCTGACCCAAAAGACCAAAAATCCTATGTTCTCCCTCATATGCGGACATTAGATCAAGGGCAAACATAACAAGGTGATTGAACTTTGATGACAAGATAAAAGTGAGAGCACACAAGGGAAATATGAGAATAGGTAAGACACCTAAAAAACTAGTTAGCATTTGTTGCCCTCAACACAGAGAAACTAAAGCAGATACCTTAAAAGCAACTGAGGCCAACAGGAGAAGGGACCAGGAACTAGAGAAAAGGTTAGATCAAGAAGAATTAACCTAGAAGGTAACACACATGCACAGGAAGTTAATGTGAGTCAACTCCCGGTATAGCTATCCTTCTCTCAACTAGCAAAAACCCTTGTTCCTTCCTACTATTGCTTATACTCTCTCTTCAACAAAATTAGAGATAAGGGCAAAATAGTTTCTGCTGGGTATAGAGGGGGTAGGGAGGAGAAGGAGGGGGTGGGGGGGGAGAGGGAAGGGGTGGGGGTAGGGGGGAGAAATGACCCAAGCATTGTATTGTATGCACATATGAGTAATAATAAAAAAAAAAAAGGACCAGATGTAATTGGCGCCAACCTCTTCCTTTTCCTGCCGCAAACATCAATATGGATGTGATTCCTGGAGCAGAGACTGCCATTTTATAGTTATGAAGTAACAAACATGGGGAACAAAAAGTCAATGTCCTAAGGTTAGGTGAACAATATATAGTATCTACGGCTTTGAGGCACTTCTCCAAATCTAGAAAATAGTTCCAGATTTCTTCATGAGATAAATGGATACCTTTATTCCTTAAGCCAGCATTAATGAAGTTTCAAAACACATCATCTTATATACCAGGTATAATTGAGTCCCTAAGGATGTTTCTAGAATCCTACTTACCAAAGTACTGAAATCCATGATCAAATACAATGTAATGCATCAATGAAAACAGTTCACAAGACAGACTAAATGATGGGGAACTGAGTTAAACCAAATACTGTATGCTAGAGGTTGACAAACTACAGTCTTTAAGGCAAATACAACTAGCTGCCTGTTTTCCCAAACAATGTTTTATTCAAATATGGCCATGTCCATTCATTTATGTACTATCCATGACTGTATTCATGCTTTAAGGGCATAATGGCTGTGACACAGACCTTACAGTTTGTAAAATTTATAATTTACTTATTGTTTACTTTATGGAAAAAGATTACCAAACTCTGCTAAAGATAAATTTCTGTCATACTAAAAGATGTGGCCTCATTTTTGAAAAAAGATTTTGTTACTATCTTATGGAACAAAAGATCGAATTGACAATACAGAGGAAGAAGACAAAAGATGCTACACCCCTCCTCCCCCTCTTTCCCAAACTTGATATTTAGGAAATATGAGAGTTTTCAGGTTAAAGTATAAAAAAAAGAAGATGAGAGTGTAATTATGTGAAGTCACCTTATTAAGAAAGAAAAGCTCCTAGGCTGAGACTCAATTATATAATACTTAATGAAAGAGTTGGCTATTAAGAAAGGAAGGGGTGGGAGTAATTAAAATTAATCAGCGAGGGAAGTACTTGAAAGAAATATTACAAAGGCAAATTGGAGTCTCCCAATATGTTAAGGGGAAAGGAATTCTGGGCCACAAGAAGGAAATAACCTATGGGAAATTAATCTATATAACATCTTCATATAACAAAGACAAATGACAGAAGCCATTAAGGTAAAATACATCTAATGTCTCTTAGTCTGATTCCATGGTCACTAAGCAACCTTCTGATTATTATGTAGCTTGGGTAGATTTCCCACAAAGAGAATGTGCTTATGGTGTAAAATGAGTATTTGGTCTTCTCTCTTTTTTTTTTTTTTGGTGGTACTGGGGCTTGAACTCAGGAATTCATGCTTGCTAGGCAGGCGCTCTATCACTTCAGCCACTCCGCCACCTTTAGTATCTGTCTTTCTTAACTACAGTTCCTATTGTTACTACATTGACCTTCCACTTTTAAATCTCTCATTTCTTTGAATTTGTTTAATCTGATTCTACTGAAGAGCACTGGATCCATTCTCAAAGGGCAAACAAGGTTTCTGAGTTTGCAAGCCAGAACACTAGGCTCTGGAATTCACCAACAAAGTGAAGATTACTCAGCCTTCCCTAAAAGACAACAGCTCAAACACCCAGCCAACTAATTCAAACTAGTATGTCTACTGAATTAGATTAAAGCCTGATATTAACTTTTCAGTGCAAAAACTTAACAATTTAACATTAAAAGCTTATGGACATACTCCGAGTATCAAATTATGCTTTTAGATAAAAGATTTATGATGCATATATATCCTTTATGAAATGAAAGTAATCTTTGTTGTAAGCAGTTTACACAATTGTTTTTCTTTTTAGCAATTCTACACTTAAAGCAAGTATTTCTGATCATAAATAATAGACAAAATGTAAATTAATTTTTTAAAAATTAGCCATCACTAGGTGCATTCACAAGGCATCCTCAGGGAGCATTTCAGCTTTTCTTTATTAGCAAATCTTTATTTCAAGGTTGTTAAGTAAAAGAAGTCACATTAATGGTTCTTTTTGTTCTTTAATAAAGCCTAAAAAGGAACCAGTTCTTGTTCTGCAAATGCTATGAAAATATAACGAATAAATATGCTTTCAGTAATGAGAAAAGCAAAAAACTAGACCTCTTCACAGCTATAGACTGTTTTTATTGTTTTTTTAAAGAACAATAAAAGCTGGATGCAATGGCTCAAGTGTGCAATTCTAGCTACTTGGGAGGTTAAGCTGGGGACGACTGCAGTCTGAGGCCAGCTTGGGCAAAACAAAAAAAATTTGACCTCTTCTCAACCAATAGCTGAGTGTGGTGGCACAGCCCTTTCATCCCAGCTACATGGGAGGTTGACATAGGATCACAGTTCTAAGCTGCACAGCAAAACGCAAGACTCTATCTCAAAAATAACCGGAGCATAAAGGGTTGCGGGCGTGGCTCAAGTGACAGAGAACTTCCCTAGCAAACTCAAAACCTTCAGTTCAAACCCCGTACTGCCCTCGCTCCCAGACCTCTCCCATCTGTAAACATGAAAGTGAAAAGCATCATCGAGCTCTGTGATACACATTAATGCCATCATACCTGGTATCCACATTCCTAAAGAAGCTGCTTATTGCCTCATCATAAATTCCTTTCTAAGAAAGAAAGAAAAATACAGCATTTAAATTTTGCCTCTTCTCCAAATAAGTCCTTTCAATTTTAATAATCCCATACTACTGTAATGGTTAATATACGGCTATAAGAAAAAGCAAGTATCAGAAAAATGTTTAGAATGAGCCTTCCAATCTCTCTCTAGAACAGAGTAAGGCCATACATCTAGCGATTAAGTTCAGCAGCAGTGATGAAAAAAGATTTTCCCGTGGGAATGTACAACAGATGCATCAAACGAGTTTTCTCTCGGCTCTTAGTGATCATTTTAAAAGATGACTGGTTAAGTTAAGAACTATAATAACCACACGTGCTGCCTAGTTTAGAAAGAGGAGACCCTTGAGAATTAGGAAAACTGAGGACTAAGGCCTTTGGCCAGTGTTCTATCTAGCGTGTTACAGCCACATACGTTAAAAGTTTTTTTTTTTTTTACCGAGATCCCCTACAACTTATGTCGGGCCATTAGAAGCGCAGGCAAAGCACTTCCTGCTTATTCGTCGGCAGTCCTCAGGAGGTAGGCGCCGGGGACTCAGACCCGCCAGTACCTGGTTGACCGCGGCGTGCTCCCTCAGCGCCAGGTCCCAGAAGCAACAGCCGATCTGGTTCCCGCACTGGCCGACTGCGACCAGGAAAAAGGAAGAGAAAGAATGGACATTAGGTTGGAAGCAACAGGGCAGAGCTCCTCGGCGGCCGGGTCCCCATGCCCCGGCGCAGCTCACCCTGCACGGACCACCGACTGGGTCATTTTACCAGGTGGTCACCCCCGGGAATCTGCAAGAAGCTGCAGCTCTGGCATTCATCCGCGGCGGCGCTCTAGGACCGGAAGGCCGTAAGTCACGCAGCTGCTGCAAGTCACTGCCGTCACTCAGCACCTCTCAGGGGCCAGGCTCAAGGGGGGAGGGGTGACCCTCAGAAGGCCGCGCAAGCGCACTTACGTCTAACCGTTACCATAGCGACTAGGCCTCGCGGCCTCAAATCCTCGCTGCCTGGTCAACATCTTTGAGCGTTGGCAGCTCCGGAGGCCGGGGTAACTGACGGGTACTTGGGCTATGGATTGGTATTTTAAATACTTGTCTCTAGATAGTCCATGGGCCATCAGGGGTTTGGTCATCGTTCATAATCTCAACATCCCGGGCGGTGGGCTAGTTACCGTTTACTCACATTCCACCCGACCCCGTGTTGGCGTCGTTATTCAACCAGCCAACCCTTTGTTTTAAGAGAAAACGAACAGTGTCGGTGAGCACAGAGAAATCTCGGACACCACCGAGGCTAGGGATGCTTTGATTAAAAAAGCTGAGTTCAGAAACCCGACCGTGATTGTTGAACGCGCTGTCCTAGAGCGCCCGCCTGCCCAGAGGCTCCGAGTTCAAAGCCAGCACCGCAGAACCAAAACCAAAACCAAAACCCAGCTCCAACAAGCCTACTGAAGACACACGCACGAAGTACTCAAGACTGAATTAAAATATTATGTGGCGCTGACAATTAGTACTGTAGGATTCAGTGGACAGTGGATGTGGCAGAGGAATTAAGAGTCTGATGGAACAGAGATTTAAAACTAGGATTTGATATATACACAGTGTTTAGAAGGGACAGAGAAGGAAAGGTTTGAGCAATCAGGCATTCCTGAGAATTACCACCTCCTTATTGGAGCTGGAGTTGCAGTCAAACACTTCAGGTCTTAATGAAGTCCCAAAGTCTGGATCTTCCAAAATTCATAAAACTTGGACAAATTTATAGGTAGTAAAGCAAGTAGATCTGTATCAGTGAATTATGGTGCCTGTTCATCTGGTATTCTGGCCTTTACAGAGTTGTTACCCCTTCTGTAGTCCCAGTCACTGTACTCTAGAAGCCATACATGGGAAAGAAGTTAAATTAAGAAAGTCCTAGGCAAGGCATGGCTCATGCCTGTAATTCCAGCTACTCAGGAGGCAGTTCAAGTCCAGCCCTGGTAAAGTTAGTGAGACCCCCATCTCAGCAAACAAGTTGGGTGTAATGGTACACATGCGTAATTCCACCTACATAGGAGGCCATAGGTAGGAGGAATGTGGGCCAAGGCTGGCCTCAGGCAAAAACTTGAGACCCTGTCCCAAAAATAACTAAAGCAAAAAAGAGCTGGGGCATGGCTCAAGTGGTAGAGCATCTGCCTAGCAAGCATGAGGCCACGAGTTCAAAACTCCAGTGCCACCCCCAATAAAAGAAAGATCTAATAAATCTTAATAGCTTCAGTCTGGAGAGAATCAGACTCAGATGATTCTGCTTAAGAATCAAACAAAGTTGAACCTTCCATACCAGCCATATCAGGACCTAAGTATAGGCAAGATCAGGTTAGCCAAGCTAGGAACAGCAACCTGCCCATAATCCTACAAGCAAGATAAATGTTTTTACCTGAAGCCACTAAGATTTTGGGGTGTAATAGTATTGAAGAAATAGGTGAGTGACACACAGAGAAAATAGACTGAACAGAATTTCATATACTAAATATGAGTAAGAGAGAAAAAAGTATTAAGAATCATGCAGATTACTGCTACAAAAGGAAAGAAAGAGGGAAGGAAATAAGATGGCATATACATGACCTGGAATAAAAGCTAATGTAAAGTGAGAAAAGAGAATTTGTCATATATACTCTGCTGTCGAAGAACTTAATATGAATACAATAAGGCAGGAACTGGGAGATAAGATGTTTAAATAATGAGAAATAAGCTCTGTGAGGGCTGAGTCTTGCCTGTTTTGCTCATTACTGTATCCCTGGTATTTAAACCCTCGCCTTGTATACAGTAGATACTAAATAAATAATGAACAACAAAATAAAATGGAGATAAAAGAACTAAGGAAATTAGCTAAAGACCAAACCATTCACCTTATAGGACTAATAAATGATTTATAAAAGCATGAAGAAGCAGACTAGAGAGATAAAAATTGCTGGTAGAGAGGAAATGCTCGAAGTAATCACAGAAAATGCTGAGACAAAGGACAAAGATATTCAAACTATTAGAAGATAATATATATGGAGAAGAAAAAAGGCTCAACATAAGATTAATAAGCACATATGAAATAGAGATGCAGCAAAGAGATGAAAAAATGCACTTATTATAAGACTAATGAAGAAAAATCTATGGGTTGAATGGATATACCATGATCCATGGAAAAATTTCTTTAGAACAATCAACAGAAAGGAATCTATCCTGATCAAGTTATTCCATTTTCAGAATAAAGAATTCTTTAAGTACCTGGGGAAGAAACAAGAAAGGGGATAGAAAAACAATTGGGCTGCTTGACTCACCTATAACATGTCCAGTACTGGAAAACTGAAAAAATTTTAGAAAGTTTTGAGTGGGAATATAATGTGTTCCATGAAAATTATACTTCTACAACTTTCCAAGTATTTGGAAATACTTGGAATATTTTCCAAATATTTAAGAATAGCTTAAATTTGTGAGTACTACATCCCCATTTTTATTATTGATTGCATATTGCCATTTCTGAGCTCATCTATTGCTTAGTAACTTGACAGGAGCAACCAACATGTAATTAACATTGTTTTCCAGCCTCTTTCTCTAGTTTGTTAGTTAAATCATGTTTTCTTGATTATCACAGTTTTCTAAAGGTTTTATTTCAATAGTTTGTCACTGAATAACATCATAATACTTTTAGTTTCCAACAACTGTTTTCCTTGTCAACTTTTGCTTGACTATTAGATAGTGACTTATATTTTAGGTCTTCTTATGGAAGTCTGGACTTAAGTCTGTACAAATCAGGATAAACTTTGCAATAGTGTGGTAATAACCAGCCTTAAAATCTCAGTGCTGATTAGTGCATACAGGTGTGGAAACTACCCAAGACTGAGGAAAGAACCACTTGAAACAAGAAGGCAAAAAATTCCTACAGTTCACACAGAGTTGGGTCTAATTCACCTTCCCAGGATTGTGAGTTCTTCGAAGAGTCCTTGTAATCCATGGAGCATTGAGTGAGTACTCAGAAAGGTATTGCCTCAGTACCAGACACAAATTGGCCCTATATAAAAGGCTGCTGTGATATAGCCTAAGAAAACATAGAAACAAACTTTAAAGAACCACACTATTTCTTTTTTTTTTCTTTTATTATTCATATGTGCATATAAGGCTTGGGTCATTTCTCCCCCCTACCCCCACCCCCTTCCTTACCACCCACTCCGCCCCCTCCCTCTCCCCTCTACCCCCTCAATACCCAGCAGAAACTATTTTGCCCTTATTTCTAATTTTGTTGTAGAGAGAGTATAAGCCATAATAGGAAGGAACAAGGGTTTTTGCTGGTTGAGATAAGGATAGCTATACAGGGCATTGACTCACATTGATTTCCTGTGCCTGTGTGTTACCTTCTAGGTTAATTCTTTTTAATCTAACCTTTTTTCTAGTTCCTGGTCCCCTTTTCCTATTGGCCTCAGTTGCTTTTAAGGTATCTGCTTTAGTTTCTCTGCATTAAGGGCAACAAATGCTAGCTAGTTTTTTAGGTGTCTTACCTATCCTCACCCCTCCCTTGTGTGCTCTCGCTTTTATCATGTGCTCAAAGTCCAATCCCATTGTTGTGTTTGCCCTTGATCTAATGTCCACATATGAGGGAGAACATACGATTTTTGGTCTTTTGGGCCAGGCTAACCTCACTCAGAATGATGTTCTCCAATTCCATCCATTTACCAGCAAATGATAACATTTCGTTCTTCTTCATGGCTGTATAAAATTCTATTGTGTGTAGATACCACATTTTCTTAATCCATTTGTCAGTGGTGGGGCATCTTGGCTGTTTCCATAACTTGGCTATTGTGAATAGTGCCGCAATAAACATGGGTGTGCAGGTGCCTCTGGAGTAACCTGTGTCACAGTTTTTGGGTATATCCCCAAGACTGGTATTGCTGGATCAAATGGTAGATCAATGTCTAGCTTTTTAAGTAGCCTCCAAATTTTTTTCCAGAGTGGTTGTACTAGTCTACATTCCCACCAACAGTGTAAGAGGGTTCCTTTTTCCCTGCATCCTCGCCAGCACCTGTTGTTGGTGGTGTTGCTGATGATGGCTATTCTAACAGGGGTGAGGTGGAATCTTAGTGTGGTTTTAATTTGCATTTCCTTTATTGCTAGAGATGGTGAGCATTTTTTCATGTGTTTTTTGGCCATTTGAATGTCTTCTTTCGAGAAAGTTCTGTTTAGTTCACTTGCCCATTTCTTTATTGGTTCATTAGTTTTGGGAGCATTTAGTTTTTTAAGTTCCCTATATATTCTGGTTATCAGTCCTTTGTCTGCTGTATAGCTGGCAAATATTTTCTCCCACTCTGTGGGTGTTCTCTTCACTTTAGAGACCATTTCTTTTGATGAACAGAAGCTTCTTAGTTTTATGAGGTCCCATTTATCTACCACCCTATTTCTAAATAACTCGGTCCTTGACCAAAATTCAAATGTACTTTTGAGGACTAAAAATAAAATTGTTCAACAATGTAAAATTTACAAGGCCTGGGATTCAAATAAACATTTCCAGATATGCAAAGATGAACCCCATAATGAGAAAAATCAGTTTAAAACAGACCGAGGAATGGCAAAAATGAAGGAATTAGTAAACAAAGACATTAAAATAACTATTATATCCACTATATGTCCAAGAAAGCAAAGGCATGAACAGATTAAAAAGAGACAGTCTATATATGTATATATAAACAGATCCAAACTGGACTTCTGGAGGTGAAAAGTCCCATGGCTAAGATGAAAAATGATGAAATTTAGAGCAGATTGTCTAATCTGCAAAAAGAACAGGAGCAATGAACTTAAGAAACACAGAAATGGAAACTATCTAAAATGGAGAGCAAAGTTATTTTTTAAAAAGGATCGGTGCACTGGGGAACAACTTCAAACAGCTTAATATGTATAATTGGAGTTCTAGGAGGGAACACAATGCACTTGAAGAAATAATGCCTGAAAAATTTCCAAATGGGATAAACATGAACCCACAAATCCAAGAAACTCAATGAAACTTAGGCATAAGAAACAAGAAGAAAACTACACCAGGGTCATTAAAATCAAATTGCTTAGCATCAGTGATAAAGAACACTCTTAAAACCAGCCAGAGGGAAGACTCGACTATATACAGAGTTAAAAAGAACAAGATTGGACTTCTTGTTGGAGGCAATGCAAGCCAGAAAATAGTGGAGCAAAATCTGAAAAGTAAAACAAAAAACATCCAAGTTAGGATTCCTTACCCAGTGAAAACACTGGTCAAAAATTAAATACTATTGCTGAATGAATTAATCACCAAGATATCAGCACTGTTCAATGAAAACCTTTAGGCAAAAGGAAAATGATGTTGAATGAAAATCTGGACCTACTTGGTATAAAGAACATTTAAAATGATAAATATGTAGAAAATGTAAAAGACTTGTTTTTTTTCCATTTTATTAGCATATGTTCATTGTACAGGGGGATTCATTGTGCCAATTCTGAATAGCCTTACATTGTATATTGGTTGTATTTGCCCCCACAATCTCCCTGTGCAACTCCCTTTCTGAAGACACCTCTTGTTTTAAAAAATATTTTAAAAATTGCTTAATAAGAAACTAACATGTTAAGGCATTTCTTACATAGGTAGAAGTAAAATGTGACAAAATCACACATGACAAGAAAGGAAATGGGATATACCCTTCTCAGGTTCTTTTAGTATATGTAAGGGGTAAAATGTCATTTGAAGGCAGACTGTGAAAAGTGAAAGTTACCTGAAAATAGCCAAAAATAAAATACAAGGATGTATAGAAATAAACCAATAATGGAGAAAAAAGAGTCATAAAATATATTCAGTTGATCCAAAAGAACAGACTAATAAGAAAAGGGAGCAAAGATGGCACACATAGAATATAAATAGCAAGATGGCCAATTTAAATTCAAACATCAATTCAATGTTAATAGTCAAAACACCTTAATTTAAAACACAAAGGTCATCAGAAGAGATATAATGAGCAAAACTCAACTACATACTATTTATAAGAAACTCACTTTGAATATAAAAACCAAATAGGTTAAAAGTAAAACAATGAAAAGATATGGAATACTAACATTAGTCCTACAAAAATTTCAGATAAAAATTTAAAGCAATATTATCAGGGATAAATATAATAATGATGGTGTCAATTCAAGAAGACATAGGATACTCAATATGCACATAATAGAGCTTGAAAAAATAAGGCATAAGTGTCAGAATAGCAAGGAAAAATAAGTTCACAATTATAGCTAAAGATTTTAACATTACTATTTCAATAATCAATAAACAAGTACAAATAAAAAAGAATACAGGAGTTGAGTGATCTGTTAACCAACTATCAATATAGAACACTTCATCCTACAATCACAAAAGATACATCTTTTCTAATACATATGAGACATTTACTAATGTAATACATATTCTGGCAATAAAACAAGTCTCAGCTAATTAAAAAGATTTAAATCATACAAAGACTATTTGACAAAAATGAAATCTAATTAGAAATAAAAGAACATTCCAAAAAATAGAATATTCTTAAATATTTGAAAATTAAGCAATATAATTATAAATAATTCATGTCAAAGAAGAAAACAAAAAGAAAAATATTATTTTACATGTATTTAACAGTTTTAAAGGAAAAACTAGCAAAGAAATGAAAAGACAATTTGAACATTTGTGGAATGCAGGTAAAGTAGTACTTGATGGATATTTATAGAAGAGATGTCCCAAATCAGTGACTTAAGTTTCTTCCTTAGGAAATTTATCAAAGAAAAGCAAATTAAGCCCAAAGTAAACACAAGAAAAGAAATAGTAAATATTGGAGTGGAAATCAAATACATAGAAAGCAGAAACTAATAAGAGAAAAATCAATGAAACATATGTCCTGAGAAATTAAAATTCTTTGGTGGACTCTGTTGCTCATAAGATAAAGTCTCAAAGCTTTAACTTTGGCTGTGCTCCTACATGATTTGGCCTGTAATCATCTCTTGGACTTATTTCTATGCTGGCCTTTCAGATCTTTTATTGTCCTCTCTCTTGGCACATGACCTTTCTTTGCACATGCCGTTTCCTCTGTTTGTCCTTTCCCAGTCTCAATGTCTTTGTCTCCTGCCCATTTTCATCTAATTAATGCCTACACATCCTTTATATTTAGATGTGATATCCTAGTGTAGAACTTGCAAGCTCCGCTAACACAGAAAATGTGTTTATTTTTTCTCAATCTTTTATCTTTTAACACTTAACACTTGCCCGGCTCATGGTGGATTCTCAGAAAATATTTATTGACTGGAAGAATGTTTGATACTGGGTATGTTTTCTTAGGATATGATCAGTTAGAACATTACTCTTTGCATCTTATGAAACAGTATCCTGAGAATTGAAAGATCATGATTTGAAGATTTATGATAATTAAGAGAGTATATTTAGAGATTTCATCATCCTTTTACTCATCTTTTATACTTATTCATTGCTTTGTAAAGATCTGCTGTGGAGTCAAGTTCATTTTGTCTTCTGTACTGCAAAGTTTCATCAAGTCTACTGTTTGATTTCGTTACACCACTCATACCAGGAACTTGGCAAAATTTGTGTCAAATGAACTAGTTAAAATAATGGAATTAAAGAATATCTGCTCTGCAAATATTTTACTTTGTAGTTTTAATACCATTTTACAGATAAACTTTTAATGATTTATTCATAATTTCAGAGTTAATATAGTGTAAAAATGGCTCATGCCTATAATCCTAGCTACTTAGGAGGCAGAGATCAGGAAGATTGTGGTTCGAAGCCAACCAGGGCAAATAGTTCACGAGACCCTTTGTTGAGCAAACCCATCACAGAAAAGGGCTGGTGGAGTGGCTTGTGGGGTCGGCCCTGAGGTCAAGCCCCAGTACCACACACACACACACACACACACAAAACACATACCTAATTCTGATACCAAATCCCATCGTTTCCACTGCTACTTCATCTCAAACATGTGAGCTATTAAACATTTTTAATATCTGAAGGAGTAAATGTTTAGGTCTTAATCATGCATTAGCTAACAATGGCCAGCAATTATTTCAGTTTCTCTGACTGTGACACAGTAAGTTAAGCTTATATATCTCTGAAACTGTCATTAATTTATTCACAGATAGCACCCTAGTAAGAAAAAAAGGTAGAGTAAGATTTGATGTAACATAAACTTAATCTTAGGTCAAATGTCATAATATGCAGGTAATCGTAAAGATTCTCATCAAGTTAAAAATGCTCACTGGCATTTAGTACTTTAGTCATTAGCTATGCAAATTGAAAAATGGTCTGCTAGAGTAATGTTCTGGCTTAAGGGTTAAACTTAAGAATTACTGAATGGGGAAGACATTGAGTGAAGTAAGCTGTGGATATAGGAGTCACAAACTGGTTGGGAGAACAACAGTTGAAGAGGTACAAAGGTGGGATCAGCAGAGAAGAAGCTCAAGGACAAGGGAACAGAATAACAAGAGCAGTACAAGATAAATTCTTCCTTTTGCAATTGTCATCATTTCTGCAATTTAGAAATTTCAAGACTGTCTTGAAGAAATAGGAAAGAAGAGGTAGTCCAGTCATATTAGAAGAGGTAGTACAGAGCAAAGAATCTCATGTAAGAAGCAATTTCGTTTGGGTTTGAGGTTGTTGAAGTGGGATGAAGGTACAGATAGATTGAGTTAATTTGGGTTATTAAGCAAAGAGACATAAAGAGAATGAGGAAAATGGGATATAAAGTGAGAGGAATCTCAAGTGTGATTTTGTGTGGATTGATAAGAATAGAAGTTTTCATGCATATGTTATAAGATGTTTAGTATTCTTGGAAAATAAGGCAGTGATAACAATAAAACCATATAAAAACTTCTTAGAAAAACATAATTTTCAGTTTGTTGCTGGAGTTACGAATTGAGACATTTGATTGTTTGGCAGGTAGGAAGCTATGTGAGAGAATCTTCTGATGTCATAATTTCTGGGCACTGGAACATTTGATCATCATTCCTTTGGCAATTCCAGCTTTCTATGGAAGGTCAGTAGAAGCAATTGATTTATTCATCTCTACAGGAATCAGACTCAGCCTATTTTGGTAAGTATGTTTCCTTGATCAAGTTAGCTAAACTTAATACGTAACAGTTAAGTTACACTAAACCATAGGTTCCTATCATGTTAATAGACCAAAACACCTTTTTCTTGATATTTGAAACACCATCTATAAAATTAATCAAATTCTTAAACCTTAATAATTTAATAATTTTTGGTTGTATTAGGGTACTTCGTTTGGTATACAAGTGCTCTATTGCTTAAGCCATACCTTTTTGCTTTAGTTTTCAGATGGGGTCTTGCACTTTTTGCCTAGGGCTGACATACGACTGTGATCCTCTTATCTATGCCTCCCATGTAGCCAAGATTATAGGCACGTACCACCATACCCTGCTTATTTTGTTGAGATGGGTCTTGCTAACTTTTTGCCTGGGTTGGCTTTAAACTGCAATGTTCCTCATCTCTATCTCCCTAATAACTGGGATTACAGGTGTGTACTACCACACCCAGCAGTAATTTAGCATTATTACCACCATTAAACATTTATTTATTAGGCATAGAATACTAGGCATAGGAAGTTTTAAGGCATTTTTCCATTTTTCCTATGCTTTGTGAGATAATAGTTGAAAACATATAAATTTGTTTAAGATAGAGTTATTAAATGTCCATTGTGTGCCAAAAACTCTTCTAGGTTTTAAGGACTCAGTAATGATAGGGAATGGGGGTATTAAAAACATTTACAAAAAGCTAGTGCACTTTCTCTCAATGGGGATACTTTTTTTGTGGTTCTGGGGTTTGAACTCAGGGCCTCACATTTGCTGGGCAAGCACTCTACCACTTAAGCCACTCCACCAGGCCTCTACAGGGAGCAATTTTGACTTTCTTTCCACACCAGGGGATGCTTAGCAATGTCTGGAGACATTTATACTGTCAGAACTTTGAATACTGTAGAACATTCTACAATGCATAGGACAGTCTACCCTTCCCCAACTTTGAGTCATCTGATCCTAAATGTCAATAGTACCATGGTTGAGAAACCCACAAGTCAGAATGATGGTAACTGTTACAAACTACAAACAAAACAGGTGCTATGGAAACTTACATGATGGGGGTTATGGAAGGCTTCTTTAAGAGACTTAGTGGTTGAGTTGACCCTAGCAAGTGAAAGGTAGGAACAGTGGATGTGGGAGAGTTCCAGGCAGAGGTAACAGTAGATAGTAAGAAGTTTTTTTGTGTGTGTGTATACATTATATAAATTTCATAGCATATTTCATATATATCATATTCATGTATATACCAATATATGTTTACTAATGCTGGGTGATATCTACTAACACCAGTTAACATTTAGTGAGCACTTAGTATGTGTTAGGCACTGTTAGGCACATGGATATTCTTTAATTCTCACTAGAGGATTTAGATAATAGTAGTAGATTATATTATTCTAACTTATCCTTGAGAAATAATAGAGAAACTATTAGTCAAGTACCTTGACTAAGATACTTAATCAAGGACCAGAATGGGATTTGAACTCATATCAGTCTAACACTCTGAAGTCCGTTTAACTAGCTATTGCACTGTAATGTAGAGAGGTGGAGGGAAATAAATAATCACAGAAGCAGAAGAATTAGCTAAAGATACTTTTGTGGGCATGAAACTCTACTAAAAGGAAGAGAAGTGTGGCAGAGAGGCATGGGGGTTGTGAATAAGGGCTTAAGCTTGTTGATTATAACAAATTTTGATTTTTTTTTTATACAACAGGAATAGACTTGAAGTCCATTAATGTTAACCACAGGCTACTCATGTTAACCAAAGGGTAGAGTTTACTTTTGTTTTTTCTTTCGCATTACTAGGGATTGAACCCAGGGCCTTGCACATGGTAGGCAAGTGCTCTACTGGGCATTTTTTTTTTTATCACTTGATGACTATCTTGTATTTGTTATAAAACTTTAAATTGTATATAAAGGGTAGTTACATGATACAGTATTTTATACTTTTATAGATATTTTTAAATGTTATTTTAAGAATGTTTCTTATTCCTACAACAAATTAGTAATGTTAAAAATTTCAAATAACTCTTTGAAGACACCCCCTCATTATTATAACTTTCTAATGTAGGTTTTCGGTGAATTATGCCTTTTCGGTTTGGGACCCAGCCAAGGAGGTTTCCAGTGGAAGGAGGAGATTCTTCAATTGGGCTAGAATCAGGACTAAGCTCCAGTGCTGCCTGTAATGGGAAAGAGATGTCACCAAACAGGTGAAGTCTTTTTATCCTGACAACTTAGGAAATTTTCATTGGCTATCACCAATATGTGTGTTAGAATCCCAACCCCCAGGAATTCAAACACTGGTATTATTAAGTTAGTATTAAAAGAGCTCAGGTTTTTTTTTTTTTAACATAGAGTCTGTATTTTGTATCCATGTAAGTCTAGATCCATTCTCTTTCTCTTTTTTGGGTAAGTTTTAGGCAGATTGTTTTGTTGATAGTTTCAAGATTAGATAGCACTCAAACAAACCTTCAGTAGTGCTGTTATGTGTAGGGCACTGTGGTAGGCATAAAGCTACAAATATTGAAAAGTAAATACTTAGACCTCAGACTTAGTGTCATTTTGGCTTTGTTTAGACCTTTGGCTGAAAGAGATTAATTAATAAATAGAGTATGAAAAGTTTTTAAAATCACTTTTGCAAAATTGAAGACAACTATAATAGGATTTATTTTACTTTTCTATTGTTTACCATAGCAAAACAATAAATATTGCACTATTAAGTTTGTCATGTCTTAGAAATTTTTGGCACACACATTTAAGCTTAAGGTAGGAGCTTTAAAAATCAGAGTTATTCAAGGATGAAATAGGTTACTTTAGGAATAATGAGCTCCTCTTTAGAAATGTTCAAGGCTGGATGAGTATTTGGTGAGAGTGTTGGAAAGGAAATTCGGGATAGATGTATTTTTTAATTCAGTATCATTTAAGGGATATTTCAAACCTGAGATCTTATCAACATTTGAACACTATATGGAATTGTCCATTTGGTTTTTTTCATAAATATTCTACTTTTGAAATCATTCAACTGAAGTAATTTTTAAGGTTCATGTACAAATGAATTGCCATAGTTTGTCATTTTTGCTTATAATTATGAGGATTTTTTTTGCCATTTAGCAATCACTGTATACCTTTCTAAATGAATATCTGGAGGATTATTTTTATATTCATGAATTTCCTATAATTAAATATACAGTAACAGACATAATTTATTTGGTACATAAATCTAGAACTTTTCCTTAATCAGTACCTGTGTTATACTTATTTTGCAATGCTCAAAGAGTTCAGTGATTTTAAACAGGTGGTAATGTACAAAAACTTTGGTTTCTAAAAACAATTTCCTGTTTTCTATCTAGCCATGTCATTTGATTTTTTTATTTAGGCAACTCAGAAGATGCCCTGGAAGTCATTGCCTGACAATAACTGATGTTCCCATCACTGTCTATGCAACAATGCGAAAGCCACCTGCACAAAGCAGCAAGGAAATGCATCCTAAATAGCATCATTAAGTCTTTTGTCGAGGGTTGACTAGGTCAAGGGTAATGGGCAGTATGATCTGGTAAACAAATAAAAGTGGTGGCACTGTTGGACGATGACAATAGTTGAACTGTTTGATTTTCATAAAAAAAGACAGAAATGGTGCTCGCTTCAGCAGCACATATGCTAAAATGATGCAGAGAAGATTAGTATGGTCCCTGAGCAAGGCTGATACACAAATTTGTGAAACGTTCCATATAAAAAAGAAAAAAAATAGACAAATGAATTCAGTGAAAACATAATAAACCATCTGCTATGTCTGATAGGTAAGACAGAATAATATTTCATAATTAGAAAATACCTCAAGATCATCAATACCTGAGGAAGGCTAGTCCACCATGGTTATCAACAGGTAGGGCCCATTCTATTTGATTTTTAAAAAAATTATTTCAATCACTCTGTTAAATTTCTCTGACAAAGTTCTGAATTTTTTTCTCTATTTTCTTCACTGAGCTTTCTTAAAACAGCTACTTTAAATTCTCTGTCAGATCTTCTGTCTGTTTAGGGTCAGTCACTAGAACCTTATTTTGTTCATTTGATGTCATGTTTCCCTAATTTATCCTGATTTTTGTGACTGTGAGTCAGTGTCTGTACACTGACATGGGTGACTAATCCACTCTTCACAATATGTCTGGGTTCAGGAGTCTCCTATAGAAGTAAGCCTGTTCAGGGATGTAGGGCAGGTTGATTAGTCAGGTTGTTGAGCATTAGGTTGCAGCATTAGGGGCCACTGGAAGCCTAGGACCACTACCAGCAGCATCCTTTAGCTGCCACAGCTGATATTGTACTTGGTCATGAAACCAGAGTTTTGGACCCAAGGCCCAAACTCCTGAGATTCCATATGCCAGGTCTAGCCATGTGCCCCTAAATGCCAAATAAAAGCAGCATGGTGAATGCAGAGAAAGGAGATTTATTACACGTCTCAGGACATGCCATGGGAAGAGGTAGGGTAAGCATTCAGCTTAACTTTAGCCATCTTTACACTACAAACATGTACAGACATGAGCTATAGGTTTAATTAGACAAAAGGACTGGGGGTAGGGGTCAGAGGTATGCATAGTTAAACAATTCCAGTCATAGATGTATTCTGGTTGACCATTATCTCAGTAAAAGGGTTCCCAGAAGGGTTCCAGAGAAGAGGTTATTTCTGTCATCACTTGAGGAGAGCAGTCTGTTTCCCATGAGATGATTGCTCCTGCTCTAGGCTGCAGCCTCATTATTATAGGTAATGTCCTCATCTGGAGGGGTGGTTTGTCCTGAAAGTCTCCACTGTTCCTTACGGGAAGTTTCAGTCCCTTGTCATAAAGATGTTATCAGTTCTGTCTTTTCTGGAATCCAAGGGATTACAAAGTGACTGCAAAGAGAATGACTTACAGCAAAGACAGATCAAAATAGAGGCAGAGATGCCAGAGTTCTCCTGTTTTTAGTTAACTTGTGGACCCAATTAAGGAGTCAGTGTTTTTCAGCAAAAGCAACTTGAGCACCTCTTACAGTCATACTTAAAGCCTATGGTTGCCAGGCCAGTGTAACACTAGACCTGTGGTCACAAGGGCTTATCCACTGCTGAAGTATATTCAGGATTGAAGGCTGCTATAGTTGGCCGGTGGTGATATAGGTCAGAACTCAAGCTCATCCTATTGGAGCTGTGGGTGGATCCTAGGGGACCCTATCTATGGGTACTGGTTTGGTGTCAAGGACCAGGGGTCTTGTCCGGTGCTGGGTTTTACTGTGGTGACCTGGTACTGGCTTCCAAGGCAAAGTTCTATGCTTTCTTGCTTTTATTTCCCCCAAAAGGATGTGTCTTCACACTGTTCCACTTGGGGTTGGGAAGGTGATATGAGTTATATAAAACTGACCTTCCTTCTCTCTTCAATGTATCTTTTCTTATGTTAAAATTAGGTTCTGTGAGTTCTTACCTGGTTTCTTTAGCAGTTGGAAAGTTTTTTTTTTTTCCTGTCCCATGTGTACATTCTTACTCAAATTGATTTTTTGTGGAAGGATGGTCACTGGAGAGTTCTACTCTACCACCTTGAATAGATAGGGCCTATTCTAAATGTTTAACGTGTTTTTAAGCTAGTTTCCTTTGTTATATTTGGATTGATTCTTAGCTGACTTTTTTTATCAGGATATCCCAAGCTAGTTTCTGGATTGATAATATTCTGCAAAGGAATATTGGGTAAGAATTTGAGCCCTGGGGGTAACCCCTACTTCTTCAAGAAAAATGATACCCCATCACTAAATTGTACCTCACGTCTCAGCCAGTCATCTTGAAATTGTCTACATTTGATATTGAGAAACCTCAGATGAATCTTTTTACTTGATTAGACTTAAGGATCGCTCTTGAGATCTAGGCCAGCTCTATTATATGTTTTCTTTTTCTTCTTGCAATAGTCCCTAGGAACTCAACCTGCTTTCCTTTTCTCTTGATGTCTGCCACCATCCATCCAAAGAAATTGTCTTTGTCAAAAGATTTAGGGTCAGATATAATTCCCCCAATTCCTTGTCTACCTTTCTAAAGTATACATACATCTTTTTAAATGAAAAAATTATTAGCTTATAGATGCATGTGTACTCTATTAGTTGAAAAATCAGAGAAAAATTGCCAGAGAGTTGTAACAGAAAAACTCTCAGAGTTTACAAAGAGCTGGGTGATGTTTGCATTCTAGTCAACCAAAGAAGAAAGATCTTGAGTAGAGATGTGGGACATTGAGTAGAGAGTCAGACAGGCCATGTTCTGTAGGAAGTCTAAACTAACTCTTACACTAAAGGCTAATCTGTACCACCAACTTTAACAAAGCTTAAAAACAACACTTGAAGGCTGGACAGGGGCTTATATCTGTAATCTCACCTACTCAGGGAGGCAGAGATCAGGCGGTGGTTCAAGGCCAGTCCAGGTGAAAACAGGAGACCCTATTGAAAAATAAAGCAAAAAAGAGCTGGGGTGTGATTTGAGTGGTAGAGTGCCTGGATGGAAAGTGTATAGCCCTGAGTTCAAACCCCAGTAAGGACCAAAAAAGACTTGAGAGAATCAAGGTGATATCTATGCAACACAATTGTCTGCCAAATAAATCTGTAGCACCTGTTAAAGAAAGAAAAATCCAGACAGGAAGTTGTGTAAGACTGAAAAGAATGATAGGAAAAAAGGAGTGATGAAAAATAATGCTCTGAATGATTTGTGATTTGTGTTTCCACCATAGTGAAAAGATCTTTCTTTTTTCTTGTATATTCGGGGCAGGTAGTCTTCCTTAAGCTACAACATCAGCTAAAAAGATCTTTTAATACATGGATCTTGAGTCCTTTAACAAGATATTGCCAAAGATCAGATGGAGCTGGGCTGGAGGAATGTTTGGGAAGGCTGGACCTGCCATAACAAAGCTTCAGAGCAAGACTGAAAAATACAGGATTAATCTCACCGTATCTTAATTCTATACAAGTGGGGGAAAAAAGATCAAAATTTAAAGAACTACAATGAAATCCAGCACCAGATTTGTAAAATTCACAACAATCAGCATCTAATGAAAAATTTCCAAGCAAGCAAACAGAGAAGGAAAATATAATTGATACTTGGGGGAATCTTAGAAAAATACCGATAGGTGATAGCTTTGGTGTACAAGCTACCATAAGTATATTCATGCATGGTCCAGTAATACATAAAAGCATGATGCTGATGAAGAGAGAAATAGAAGGTATAAAAAAGACCTGAGTAGGGCTGGGATGTAGCTCAGTGGTACAGCGCTTGCCTAGCATGCATGAGGCCCTGGGTTCAATCCCAGCACCAAAAAGAAAAGACACACACACACACAAAAAGACCTGAGTAGAACTTCTAGAGATGAAAATATCTGAAATAAAAACACAGTGAATAGGATTGAGTGTAGATCATGGAAAAGAAAATATTAGTGAACTTGAAGACATTGCTATCCAAATTATCCAAATGAAATCCAAGGAAAAAAAGGAATGGAAATAAAGAGCATAAGTGGTTGAATTTCAACACCAAGTCCTCTTAACATATAAATAAGATTTTCTGAAGGAGGAGGGAAAAGGATAGAAAAATATTTGAAGAAATAAGTATCAAAATTTTTCCAAATTTGATGAAAATATAAACAGATCTAAGTAGCATAAACAACTCCCTCCTAAAAGAGACCTAAACAAAACCATAATATAATTAAAGTCTTACAATTTGACACTGAATATATTCATTCAGAGGAACAAAAATAATGAGGGCACACTTTTCATCAGAAAATACATAAGGCAATGAAGCAATATCTTCAAAGTAACTTTCAAAAATGAAAATGAAGTAGAGACTTTTTAGCCAATCAGATGCTGAGAGAACCTCAGCATCTCATCCCTAACAGGTTGTTATCAGTGATGTTCAAGGAAGTTTTTCAGACAAGAAGAAAATTGTTCTAGATGGAAATCTGGATTTGTAGAAAGAGCACAAGAAATGGAAAATATATGCTAAATGTATAAACTACTTGCTCATTTAAAATACTTACTGGGTAACTGTTTAAAGCAACAATAACTTCTATAAAAGAATAATGTATGATGATGATGTGGTTTGTATATGAAATATCCCCCAAAAGGCATGTGTGTTGGGAGCTTGGTCCCCAGCTGGAGGTGTTATTTTGGAAGGTTCTGGAAACTTTGGGAGGTGGAACCTAGCTGGAGGAAGTAGGTCACTGGGGGCAGTCCCTTCCTGGTATCTTGTTCCTGGTCCCTTCCTTCTTTCTCTCTCTGCTTCCTGTCTCCCTCATGTGACACAATAAATATGTAAGTTGTAAACTTTAGAGTTATACATAAAAGCAATAAAAGAGTTGAAATAAACTAGAAATTAAATGAAATCAATATCTCAATTCTGAAAAAAAGGAAAAGAGGGAAGAGAAATACATATATAGGTTTAAATCATATTTTGATATTTGCATTTGTTACAAAAGCTCTACACTTTAATTATAAGGCTATGTAAGAGGATATAACTATAAGCTGTCTATATGAACCCATTTAAAAAAACTAAGAT